TCAATCTTTTCATACGCGATTACGGGTACTTTTAATTTGGCCCTTCTTCAGCTCGTCGCCTATTTGGTCGACATACGTCCGTCTAGGGCGGCCCTTACTGACATCTCCATTCATTCTTGCTCGATAAATCTCTTTCGTAATTCTTCTTTCATCCATCCTCTCCAAATGGCCAAACCAACGCAATTTTATATGACATAAGTATTTACGATAGTACGACCGGAATAGAAGTGAATGCGGAAATGACTGAGAATAGAGAAGAATAAAAGAGAAAAACATGTTACGCCGACCCCAAATAATAATTGGGATAAGGGTAGGAAGATGATGATGATGATGATATGACAGAAGTATTTAATTAAAAAAAAACTCCTGAAGTACAGTTCTAAAACTGCTCGAACAAATTTTACTAATTGAAAAAAAATGAATCAGAATCGTTATTGGTGAATTACTCATGAAAAAACTTGTAAATTAGTTGAAAATGACCTCTTTTACACGACCGTCTAAAAAGGAAATGTAATATTTTCATAGTACTTGTGTGTATGCGATTTCTTAAAGAAGCAGGTTCTCGATTCGGTTATAATATTTTTAATGTTTGTTCTCTCATAACTCCGTCATTTATAAACCGATTTGGGAAAATCTTTTTTTATCTGAAAAGACATACTTACAAGTTGGTCGCACAGTGGTTTTATCAAAATCGGTACAGTAGATAGATAGATACTCTTAATCGTTTCCTCCATAAGGTTATAATAGTAAAGAGGGAGACATTGTACTAAAATCGTTTGCTTGAGCACCTCTGCTCCATTTGTGTTCATGTCTACGGTTACCACTTTCTATCAAATGGGCCGTCAACTTGTTTTCCATTCTACTTTGTAAAGAAACTCCAAATATCACATTACTCGATCGAGTACGACGGATATAACTTCCTTCAGAATTATCTCTGTTTTCTAGTAGCGTACTCGCGGAGACGCGGCCCGCTCGTGGGAGGGTGAGTAGGTACTATAATATATCAGGCAGCGATTGCTATCTGCCCTCCGTAGATAGATCTAAATGTGCACAGTTCTATAGATATCCACGGGGAAGTCGACCTGGTTGGGTATATTGCTAGCAATGAGGCCCCTAATCTTCATTATCTATATTATAGTAATCCTTTCCCCCCGTGAACGTGAGTTTGTTACCCCTTGACTGGAACAATCGTTATTAAATTTGGTATACACGTTATGAACATATCCTGATCATACAGAAAAAAACTGGTAATTATATACGAGTAAATATGTTATACTGTGTCACTCTGGCGATTGCGAGGTCATTCACTTGACCGTTCACCTCGTTTCACTTCAACAAAAGACCAACCCCATTTTCTTTTTATGGCATTTTTCCGCAGGGGAAGTGTTGTATTCGGTAGTCGCGGTGGCCATGGTAAATAAAGGGTTAGCGCAATGGGGCGACGAGGGTGACGGGGGACACTCTCGTAGTAATTGTTATATTACGCACACGTTAAATATTTAATGAAGATTTATAGGTACGCTACCTGGCCTGGCAAACGGTCCGACGGGCAATAGAATCCTCTGGAATCACCCATCAAACTATCCTAATTCTAAAATCCGGGATAACAATACACGTTTTGAGAATTCATTAAAATCTTTACAGAGAGTAATATAAACGAGGATCGATTTTTGTATACTGGTGCCACGCCCTGACTTCACGTGTAGAGAGAATAAAATACGGCCCATGTTGATCGTTGGTAATATAAGAATGAGTTTATCAGAGGAAATATTAAAATAGAGCTTGTTATAAAAAAAAGTAAGAAGTAACGGACTATCCTGATATGGACGCGTGATGCGCGGAGATGTTGAGCATGTTTTAAGTATTAAGTATAAATGTGGATGGATATAAGAGCAGAGGAAGACCTAAAAAGATACGGATAGACTATTTAAAAGATGATTTGACCAGAATAAAAGTGAATGCACAAATCCGAATGCTTCATGTCTATAGGCAACGGTTACCATTTTCCATAATCCGTAATCTTGTTTAAAGGTTTGTGCGCTACCTTTCTAAGTTGTATAAAATAAATTACTGTGAATAGATGAAAGAGAAGAATATGTAATTGAGAAAAGGATAGAAAGATGGTGATGATTAATCGTTGATAATGTAGCTATCTGTAGATGCATATAGATTTTTTAAATCCATTACAATAAAAAAACAAACATTTCCTCTATATAATATCTTTAGAAGACAAGCTTCCTTATTGTATAAGACGATTTACTTGATCCACGAGAGTCTGTCTCGATCCAGCCTATCGTTGATTATGATAGACAATTCTCGAAGGCACGTCGTTGGCGGAATGCCAAAAGTTGTAGGGGAGTTAAGAAAGTTTTGTCGCAACTTCATCTTACACTCGACGTGGCGGATTAGGGAAGTCATTAATTTAGATTATTGCAGCCGACACTTAGTATTCTTTATGTATGGCGTATTTAAAATCATTTTCTAGGAGGGGGGAGCATGGCTCATACCTACCCCCTTATATACTTTTATAGGATTTAAGAGATTTCTAATAGAAGGCAACTTACCAAATATTTTTATGCCTATGTTACACTATTATGTTGGAAACTAAACCAATTTTCATAATTATTTTTTAATTGATAGAGTTTACACCCATATTGGTTCCAAGTTCCATTTTATGACGATTAAAGCTGTGGTATTTCATTGTAAATACACGTTCAAGATTCAATTTTTTCCAATATCAATTCCGCGACACATCTGTTCATTTGTTATTGTATTTAGGAATGTAGTTTTTTTTCCCATTCGTGTTTCAACCGTAAAGCAATTGAGTTTGTATGGCTGTGTTTCGGTTTGAAGGGTGGGATATGGCGTGAATTTACAGGGTACAGAGGACTAACACCTGAGTCCTCAGGAATGGCAACGCATGGGGGGTATCATGGGCGAAACAGTATACTCTGTTATGTCCATGGTACTGCTCATGTCTATAGGCGACGGTTACCACTTTCCATCAAGTGAGCCGTCAGCTTGTTTGCCATTCTAAGTTGTATAAAAAAAAATTGTTGAATAAAATTCACTTATTGTCTCAAGTGTGTAAAGCTTTTGCAATTTTCGTCAACACACACCTGACTTCAGTTCCGAATAATATTTACATGTTGTAAACGTTAAGTTGCTGAGTAGACCCTCGCTAAAGTAAAGGGCGCAAATTCTCAATAAGCAATACTTATAGAGCAAGGAAGAGGAGGGTCGAGAAACAAGCCCAGAGGGACGCCGGCATTTCATTTCCCCCGCATATGGGACACTTGGTGATTTTATAGGGAGTAATGCGTCTCTCAGATGGGGGATGTTTTATGGAAATGTCTCTGAATTATAACTTGACTTGCTATGTAATGAATTTGAACCCAAAATATTGCTGTATATTCGTACTGTAGGTATATACAGGCGCGGATTAAACCCTAAAAAAGGTTGTGGTTACAGCCCCCGAAAATCGGCCAAATGCGAGTCGATCGATCAATATAGTGCATTCAAAAGAAGATGTTTACAAAATAAATGATGCCCTGACGAAAACCTTGTACAGTGTATAGTTCCACGTAAGCAAAGCCGCGTGACAGATAGTAGTAAATTAATAAACCTGTAAAATGTTATTTTGTACGCTCACGAAAATTACAAAACTTTTTTAGAATAGAATAGAATAGAATAGAATAGAAATCATTTATTCAAATAAACTTACATTCAAGCACTTTTGAAAAGTCATTACATTTTTTTTAATTTACCGCTCGTTCGGAAAGCTGTCTCATCACAAGAAGAACGAGCAAGAAACTTGCGTGATGCTCTTTTAAATATTTTTATTATTACTTTACATTTTTAAGTTTAATTGTGTGAATACAAACCACCAATTAGCACTAATTCAATTAAATACTCAAAAAGAAAAAAATATTGAATACATAACCAACTGGTTAAACAATTAATAAGAGGAAATCAGTCATAGTGATTAGAGCAGACCAGTCCCTACAAGCAGCACCCGTTCACGAGTATGACGGATGAGCCAGCCATCACTGCGCTCGACCATATTTTAGAGCCCAATGACCCGGCCCACCACGCCGCCACAAGTCTGGACATTTTAGTGAGCATGACTACTCAAAATACTAGACCACGTCAAAGCTACTCACAATTGCCATCTGATAGTTATAGTTTTCACATTTTACATAAGAATGCATGCGGCAATTAATACAAAAAACCGCTACGCTTTCATATTTCTAAAATTAATCAATTAAATCAAGAAAGCAATGAGAAAATAAAATTATAACGTTGTATGCTAATAAACTAATTATTTACTTGATATGTTGTCATACCACTGAAGTGACAAACAAGCATACGGCCCACCTGGTAATAAACTTGGGCCGCGAATCACCTATCGTCCCCTTAAGGCGTCTGTATAACGATATTGTAAAAACCAAGCCTGAACTTGATATTCACAACGATAGTCACTCTGTGTTCATGGCTTAATTAAAATGTTGATGTACCTCCCCATTGCATTATATTTATTTATAATTTATAATAATTTGTTCACAATTTTTATTATTTACTTAAATTGTTAATATCTTTGTTCATTTAATGACATTTAATAATTTAATTCCATTTTAATGTTTATCAAACACAAAGCATGCTGTGGTCGCCTATAAATGTAAGAACAGTTAGATCTAATCTACCAGTGTATTGTATTGAAATGTTTAGCTGTATCTTGTGTTGGTAATCCTATAAATAAATAAATATACTTTTAAATTATAGATACTTAGAATAGCAAATAAGCTGACGACCCGCCTACTGGAAAATGATAACCGTCGCCTATAGACGTGGACAGTAGCATGCATATAACAGAGTATACTGCGTCACCTATGATACCTTTCATGCGTTGCCATTCCTGAGGACTGAGGTGTTGTGCCTCTGTACCCTATAATTTTATTGCCAAATCTAGAGCCCTATTGACGTGAATATTTCTTCGCCAGTTGACATGTGGAGTTCGGTGGAGAACGGGTCGGAAGGACCGCGGGCGGCGCCGTGTTCCCGCGGGAAGCACTCGGCCACATTGCTCGGCGGCTACGTATATGTACTGGGAGGTCGCGGCGCCGGTGGCTCCGTCCCTCTGCGGGACTTCTGGAGGTACTGTTTAGGTAAGTTGCAATATCATTTAGGGAAATGTCGAATTTGGTTCCACTGAATTCAATTGCCAGATGTAATTTGCGATCCCATTAGTTTTATTAAAATTAAGTACCTGTATGACAAATTAATAATAAATGTGGTAGTTCATCTACGTATATTGCTTACCCTATGAACTCATTACAGAAATAGTAGCTAATCTTTATCTTTTATTTATTTATATATTACTTATATTTTATATTATTTACATTTCATATATCTCTTTAGTTTTATATTCCTTTATATTTATGTATGTATTACTTATTTTGTATTACATTATTAGTTGTTATTTTCTTTACCTATCCCAATAATGTAGTACCGCGTTCGTAATTCGCTGTTCATCCCAGGAGTTGACTGGTAGAGAACGCTACTAGCATTAAGTCTGTCTTTTGTATCATATTTTATTTTGGTCAATAAAGTTATTTAAATAATTATATTAATAGTCAAATCAAGCATTTTCACAAGCGTTCGCATATGTAATAGATTAGCTATTTCCACCAGCTTTGCCTGCGTAAATCGTACACATACATAGTATCCTATATGCTAAGTTCAGTTTTACAAATCTCATTCAAACCCATTGAGTAGTTTTTGCGTGATAAAGTAACTAGATGTTTTTTTATACAACTTAGAATGGCAAACAAGCTGACGGCCCACCTGATGGAAAGTGGTAACCGTCGCCTATAGACATGAGCAGTACCATAGACATAACAGAGTAACTAGATAGATAGATATATAATTTATTTGCATAACTTACAGCACACAAATAACAACAGATATAGAGAGACATACACAGTAAAAAGAAGTAAAAGAATGCATATGCAAAAAAAAAGGAAAAAAATAAAATAAACCATTTTTTTTCCTTTCATGCGTATGCCATAATAACACAAAACTAACATCCATCCGTCCATCCGTCTATCCATCGTTTCAAACTTTTATAACATAAAAAATCAAATAGATAATATCACGCGCCGTCAAGGAAATAATACTCTCTCTATTCAAAAGGGGTTCCCTTGAGAATACCATAGTCTTGTAATATTTTTTTTTCTCTTAAATCCTTATAATATAATAAGGTATTCATTTATTTATTTATTCAACTTAGAATGACAAACAAGCTGACGGCCCACCTGATGGAAAGTGGTAACCTAAAAACCTGTTCAAAATTAACCTTTTTATATATTGACAATTGTAGTTTTTTAAAAAAAAGAATATTTATAAACAATTGAAAAAAAAACAAAAAATACATATATAATACTTCAAGTCAACAGACGGCAATTTTATTTACAATTAATATAATATAAATAATAACAAGAACCAGCATATTTTATAAACATAAAAAGTAGTCCTTCGAGCCGGATGATGTTATTTTGTGTAACGGATGTGCACACGCACTGGACCTGGCTATAACAGTGCTTGCTGAACCAGGACAAAACCTAAAATAATTTTATTGAAAACATGAACATAACAACATACAGCCGCAACTCACAATTTGATACATGCTCTGGATCTACAAAGTTCTATATGTACAGTACTGCAATGACTTTAGATACTTTTCATGTAACCAAGGCTGTCCTCACATATTACTCCTCTCACGTTGGATATGACTGCTATATGTTCGTGACACCGAATTCCATGCATCTGTTAGAAGAAAAGGCAGTTTATTATTTATAATATTTAATATATATATAAAATAATATGTGGGGTACTACGTAATACTAACTTTAAATATATGTATATAATATTCTTTGCCATATAAAGGTTGTAAGTCTCTTGGTAATAAATAGAAATAAAGCACAAGTTCACTTAGTTCATTTAGTCTAGATCATATTAAATCATATATTTACTTATTTGATCTTGTATTTGATATATAACAAATAATATAACATAAATACCCAACTTCTGTTAGTCCATTGACACTTATTTAAATATAGCTTCTTTAGGACTTCCATTAACAATAATTGTGATATATTTTATATAATGACCACGTGGTTCACTATACTTGTTCACTCTCGATACGTCAGGGAGCTCCGCTCTGTTCAACGGTTGAACAAGAAGTGTCTCCCCACCCAAATAACAATCTTTTATATCTACAGGGCGGAATTCGAGTGAACAAGTCAGTGAGACCGCGTGTTCTTACAATTTCATTACTTTTTATTTAAGTATCATGATAATAAATAATTATAAAATAAATTAAAATATAAATAAAAATGGGTAAAAAAACTTTTAAGTTAAACGGTTTTATTTTATGTGCACTGAAAACTACAAAATAAATAAATAGTTACTTACCTATCAACCTACGTAGGTGATCTCGGTCATTAATATCTCTGATGGTAGTGGTTGTCATAACATGAACCATGTCAGCGGCCGAAAGGCAGTTCATGAGAGAACACTAATACCAGGGTTTGCTTGGTAGGTAAACTAAGCAGCCCACACTATAACAAGTAGGTATTTTGACCTTCTAGTTCAGAAATATTTTAGTACTAGGCAGAATAGCTTTTAGGCATATTAGACTAAAATAAAAACGTGGGGCCCATTAACTATTTCTGTATTATTTTATATTATACTAAGTGTGGATTGCATCGACTTATTATAATCGTCATCATCATCATCCTAGCGGTTTATCCCGGTCGCATCCGAAACCTCATAGCTCCGGAGTCCAGGGTCCGCTGAATCGACTTACTATAATCGTAACTGGAGGTTTTGACCATCAATAACCAGCCGTTACGGCTTCACCAGCGAACGCCGAGCTCATGATCTACCAAAGTATAAGATATGCTCTGCTATAGGTATGATTTCAGAGGGGCCTCACGTTTTTATTTTAGTCTAATATGCCTAAAAGCTATTCTGCCTAGTACTAAAATATTTCTGACCTAGAAGGTCAAAATACCTACTTGTTATAGTGTGGGCTGCTTAGTTTACCTACCAAGCAAACCCTGGTATTAGTGTTCTCTCATGAACTGCCTTTCGGCCGCTGACATGGTTCATGTTATGACAACCACTACCATCAGAGATATTAATGACCGAGATCACCTACGTAGGTTGATAGGTAAGTAACTATTTATTTATTTTGTAGTTTTCAGTGCACATAAAATAAAACCGTTTAACTTAAAAGTTTTTTTACCGATTTTTATTTTCTTGTTTTTAGTATTTAGTGAAATTGTTTACCTGTTTGTCTAGTGTCTGAGTGTCTAGTGTCTGAGTGTCTGAGTGTCTGAGTGTCTAGTGTCGAGTGTCTGAGTGTCTAGTGTCTGAGTGTCTGAGTGTCTAGTGTCGAGTGTCTGAGTGTCTAGTGTCGAGTGTCTAGTGTCTAGTGTCTAGTGTCTAGTGTCGAGTGTCTAGTGTCTAGTGTCTGAGTGTCTGAGTGTCTAGTGTCGAGTGTCTGAGTGTCTGTCTAGTGTCTGAGTGTCTGAGTGTCAGAGTGTCTCGTGTCAAGTGTCTGAGTGTCAAGTGTCTGAGTGTCTAGTGTCTGAGTGTCTTGTATCCGAGTGTCTAGTGTCTGAGTGTCTAGTGTCTGAGTGTCTTGTGTCTAAGTGTCGAGTGTCAGAGTGTCTGTCGTGTCTGTCGGTGTCTGTCGAGTGTCAAGTGTCTGAGAGTCTAGTGTCTGAGTGTCTTGTCGATCCGAGTGTCTAGTGTCGAGTTTCGAGTGTCTAGTGTCTGAGTGTCAAGTGTCGAGTGTCTAGTGTCTGAGTGTTGAGTGTCGGAGTGTCTAGTGTTTAGTGTCTGAGTGTCGAGTATCGAGTGTCGAGTGTCGAGTGTCGAGTGTCGAGTGTCGAGTGTCGAGTGTCGAGTGTCGAGTGTTGAGTGTCAGTGTCGAGTGTCGAGTGTCGAGTGTCGAGTGTCGAGTATCTGAGTGTCTAGTGTCTGGTGTTTAGTGTCTGAGTGTCGAGTGTCTAGTGTCTGAGTTTCTAGTGTCAGAGTATCTAGTGTCGAGTGTCTGAGTGTCTAGTGTCTAGTGTTTAGTAACTGAGTGTCGAGTGTCGAGTGTCGAGTGTCTAGTGTCTGAGTGTCGAGTGTCTGAGTGTCTAGTGTCTAGTGTCTAGTGTTTAATGTCTGAGTGTCGAGTATCGAGTGTCGAGTGTCGTCGAGTGTCGATTATCTGAGTGTCTAGTGTCTGGTCTAGTTTAGTGTCTGAGTGTCGAGTGTCTGAGTGTCTTGTATCCGAGTGTCCAGTGTCTGAGTGTCTAGTGTCTAGGTGTCTAGTGTTTAGTAACTGAGTGTCTTGTATCCGAGTGTCTAGTGTCTGTGTGTTTTGCTGTATTTTTGCTGTAGGGTCTGTGTGTCTGAGTGTCTAGTGTCTGAGGGTCTAGCGTCTGAGTGTCTAGTGTCCGAGTGTCTAGTGTCCGAGTGTCTAGTGTCTGGGTGTCTCAGTGTAGTCCTATTATTTGATACCCATATTGTGGTGGTTGTGGAAAAATATGTACCTAGTCCGCCATATTGGAACGGCGTCCATCTTGAATTTTAAATTTTGACATAATCGTCGTATTTTACTAGTGTAGCCCTTTCATTTGATACCCATATTGCGGGGGTTAAGGAAAAATATGTAATCCGCCATTTTGTATCGGCGGCCATCTTAGATTTATAATATTATTGATTTTATTATATTGTATTGTCATCTAAATTAAATGTGTGTACCAAATTTCAGATCAATCTGACAACGGGAAGGTGCTTAAATTCCAATTTCTAATTTTGACCCAAATAAATAAATACCGTACAGGTCGAGCTAAATAAAACCGTTTAATTAGTGTTCTATATATATTACAAGAATAATTTATTACCAAATTTGGTATAATAACAATTTTAACGTTATATTATATTTAAAGTAGTTAAACTGATTTTTATTAATAAATGTAGGTACACATTTTAACACAAGATGTTTAATTAAATTAATATAATTTAAAATAAATATCTAACACGTCCATATATAGGGGGAAAGGGATTGTTAGTAATGGAGACTGAGAATCCCATTGCTAGCAATATACCCAACCAGGTCGACGCTGTTCTCCCTGGAAACTATCATGGTTAATTCCTGATGAATTCATCATGATGGGCTAACTGGCCTGTTTTCATTCTCATCGATCACCCTTCACTTGTGCTCCGCCAGCGTATCCCATTAACGCAGGCGGGGTTACCATACCATTTTCATCCATAAAAAAGAAATGAATATACATATATAGAGATGATGATTCAAAAAACGTGCCACAATAATAATTTAAACAGATCTGTGTATCGTGTCCGCCGCGAGATATGCACTCCACACATTCAGCATTCCTTTAACGAGCATTCACGGCTCGCTCGGCTGTCTCGCTGTAATTAGGTCGAGCGTATGCTGACACAAGTGCCTTTATTACTGGTCCATTAGCATTTTATCGTGTAAAGAGTCGACAGTCTTCCATATCGTACCTACTGTATTATGTTAGCTTTCTGTACCTGCATTCAAAATTCTGCATGGATCGTCGTCCATTTTGAATATTAATTCAAAGTATGACGTGATATGAAGTGAAATAACTGTGTAGGAACACATAATTATTGTTTATACTGCTGTAGTGACAAACAAGCACACGACCCGTCTGACAATACAACAACTCTGGGAACGTCATAAGCGCATTGCACCATACTATAATACCATAGTTCCAGCCCCATTGCACTATACCCAATACGGCAATAATATGGCAATATACCCTGTCAGATCGACCTCCACGCGGTTTCTCCTGAAATCCATCTTTGTTAATTCTTTATAAATTCCTCCTCACCTCTCATGTCTCACTGGTACCTCGCCAGCGTACACCGACAAAGCAGACGGAGTTATCATTCCATTATCACCTATTAAAAAAACTTTAGTTCCGTTAATTTCGTTAGTAGAATAAGAACACGTGAAGTTATTATAGTATCACTAGTTCTCTTAAGAGATGAAAGATGAAGATGAAAGGAGAAATATGATACATGAGGTAGAAGTGAAGATAGTAAGCCTAATGTGAATAATTCACCAGCTAACCATGACAGTTTCCAAGAAGAAGTGCAAGGAGGTAACCTGACCTTCCTCCCTGATCAACCCTAGTTCATTCTGCAATTTCCAGGGTAGTGTTTAAAGGCAACGACTACCACTTTCAATAAGATCGACCGTCAATTACATCGGGCATAATAAAAATCTTAAAACTTTTCCAGCAAGCGGTGTATGGGAGCGTATAGAGGCGCGCGGAGAGGCCCCGCCGGCTCTGCAGGAGCACAGTGCCAGCGCGCACGGCCAGCGACTGTATGTGTTTGGTGGAGAAGCAGGTGCCTTGTCCAGCGAGACACCGCTCTGGATATATGATACGGAGGTTAATAATTTTTTTCCAAAATTTTACCGAATTTATCATGGAAAGTACTCTGAGGAATTATTCGGATTGATACCTGCTGCGGATTTTCACCATTGTACAATCCGCCACAAACTAAAGTTCCATCCCAGCCATCTGAATGAGTAGCGGTCTTCCAACATGCGTTTTTAAGGCACTTTCATCCACGCACAATCACTTTCTAGAATACACTTCCAGCGACAATATTTCCGAACCGATACGACATCATAACCTTCAAGAAAAGAGCATATCCCTTTTTAAAAGGCCGGCAGCACCTGCAGTGCCTCTGGTGTTGCGGGTGATCATTGGCGGTGGTAGTCACTTACCATCAGGTGAGCCGATTGCTCGTTTATTCCCTATGTTATAAAAAAATTAAAGAACAAATCACACTCCAAGTGGACATCTGAGAAAGACCACTTAAAAAGATAACTCTGCTACCAATTCGCTTGTTCAACGTGGTAATATAAGTTGGTTGATATTCTTCTCTGAAGAAGAGGAGTCCTTCCCCTTGCAATACGACGTCCTTTTGCTAAAATGTTGTAAAAATCAACTTAAAATATAACTTATTCATGTATTCACGGGCACTAAATGATACAGACCACCATACGACCGCCATCAGGGCACGAATCTCTCCATAAGGGCAGGATATTAGTTTACTATTTCACGCTGGCCCACGGTTTAAGTCTGTAAAGATTTTTCCATCTTTGACATTAGAATCTAATTAAGCTTAGTTAGTTTCTTTGCTTGCCTTCTATGACATTCTATAGTTGAAATGTAGTGGTAACATTTAAGATTTTTAGTCACCACACATAGAAAAAACACACGATAGAACTTCAAAAATTATTACAACTGACAGTCTTTCTATGTTTTATAATCCCTACAGTATACCTTAATTTTTTCATAACATCTTGTTCCAGATTCGAGTATGGCGCAAGCTGGCAGGCCAGCCGACGTACACGACAACACTGCGACGACGCGGCTCGAAGGACGCGCGCGGCGCGTGCGCTGGCCCCCGCGGCCGCCGCGGCCACTCGGCCCACACGCTCAAGGACTGCCTGCTTATATACGGGGGGTACAAAGACTTGAGAGGGTCTACAAATGAGCTCTGGGCTTTTCATTACGGTAAGGATTTCACATAAATTTATATGAAATTTTGTCATTAGATTTAGTTAGGTTAGCATTAGTGTTTTGTTTTACTTAATTCTATATTTACCGCACACTGTATCACTTTAACTATGTTTTGTTTGCGATCATGACCATCATCAGCATTTCTTTGTCCAGTGCTGATTATAGTCCTACCCATCCATCGTGGAGGTGGTTTACCTTTCTAATCTCAGTGAAATCACCTCCGAATATTCGGGACCTGAGATGCATTTAAACAGTTCACACACTGACTGCGACGCTCTCCACGCACTTACCTCTGTGACAGAGGATGGGAATCGCGATGGAGCGCGATCAGGGTGTGAAGTGTTCTAAGGTTATATCCCCATTTTTTCTTGAAAATGCAAATTGAAGTAATGTTGAGTGTTGCGTGCGTGCGTGCGTGCGTGCGTGCGTGCGTGTGCAGAGTCGGAGTCGTGGCAGGCGGTGCGCACGGCGGGCGCGGGCCCGGCGCGGCACCGCCACGCGGCCGCGCTGCACCGCGCGCGCCTCTACGTGCACGGCGGACAGTGCGACCTGCGCGACTGCGCCGACCTCTGGCACTACGACACCAGTAACCTCCTCGCACTTATACATATTTTGTTTTATACCACAGAGGTGGCATACAAGTATACAGCCCGTCTGATTATGATCTGACCTATTGCTAGCAATACACCCTATCAGGTCGACCTCCACACGATTCTTCCTGGAAACCATTATGATTAGTTGTAATGAAATTCGTCACAATGGGCTAATTGACCTGCTTTCATCGTAACCTATCATCCCTCACTGGTGCCCCACCAGCGTAAATGAAATAGTAGTCCCGACTGCCTACCTGCTTGGTATACGCTGTCAGGGCATCAGTGGATAGAAATACGTGAGGATGAACTTCTGGTCATTGAGCGTATTGTGATAAATTCATCAGTAACTAGCTACGATAGTTTTCAGAGGAACTACGTTACAGGCGAATCTTATAGAATATTTTGCTAGCAATGGAAGCAGTATTTTCCATTACTAACGATCTCTTCCTTCCTACTAATACCTATTCATTGACTCCTTGCAACTTACAAAAATCATTGCTAAATTTAGTAGAAATCGCGTCTAATTTGTGGACATGATTCTAAAAACTTTTATTCTTCTTGCGCTAATTTAAGCTCTTGTGAGCATCTATAGATTCTGTAATGTTTTCTCAATCACAGTATCCCGTGTGTGGACGCAAGTCCGCACTCCAGCCAAGTTGTCGCCGAGCGCGCGCAGCGGCCACGCGGGGCTGCGTGCCGGCGCTCACTTCTACATATTCGGCGGGGAGGCCAACGGCCACTCCACCAACGAGCTCTGGAGGTTTCATTTTGGTATGCTACTCTATCTTTTATAATAGAAGAATTACTAATCACGTAGATACATTGTTTGATATTGACTACTACATCGTTACATTTTGATACAGAATCGGAAACATGGGAGCGAATAGTCCAAAGCTTAAAGTGGCCCTCCCCGCGAGTGGACTGCAGCGCGCTGCTGGTGCCGTGGGCGCCGTCGCGCGCGGCGGACGCGGCGGGGCGCGGGCGCGGCGCGGCGCCGCCGGCGGCGGGCGGCGGGCTGCTGCGCGAGATCTCCAAGCTGTCCAGCGTGCACCTGCGGCGCGGCGCGCGCTGCTCGTACAGCGTGCTGGCGGCCGAGCGCGACTCCACCGAGAGCCTCGTGCGCCACGAGGCCGCGCTCGCCAAGTCGCACTCCGCCTACGCCATCGACGAGCGGCAGCCGGCCGACGGCCACGACGGGCCGCGCGAGGCCGACCCGCCCGACGGCCGCGGCGAGCTCGCGCGCGAGCCCGTCTCGGTGCCCGACTTCGTGGACGTGGTGCCGGCGCCGGCCGCGCCGCCCGCGCCCGCCGTCACCAAGCTCGTGTACCTGGACTCGGACGAGGAGGAGGAGGCGCGGCGGCGGCGCGCGGCGCGGCTGCCCAAGTCGGCGTCGGTGCGGTTCACGCGCGGCGCGGCCGGCGACGAGGACGAGGCGGAGCTGTCGACGTCGGACTACGCGAGCGCGGAGCGCGTGAACCGCGTGGCGGGGTTCAGCAACCCGCACTACCTGGGCCCGGACGTGCGCGCGCTGGGCGCGGCGCGGACGCCGGACTCGGGCGTGGGCGACGCGCTCGAGCTGCGCGCGCTGGCGCCGCGCCGGCCGGCCGCGCAGCTGCACGTGCTGCTGCTGGGCGGCCGCGAGCCGCCGCACCTCGCGCTGCTGCAGGCACCGCTCTCCATGTGGACCTACCGCCTGCTGTAGGCCGCCGCCCCTGCCGTCTTCTCGTCCACTCAGTAGGTTCTAGGCTAGTTCGTGAGCTTCTTTCGCGGTAGTGTAGCCGTCGATCGTAGAGTAGCTTGCGGCTCCGAGAATAATGATGTTACGTCCAGCGGAGTCTTCGATATACTTTCCAAAAAATTGTTATTGTCTAGATTTATAGAGCGAATGTGTATTGTTCAGCCCGACGGCGGCGAGCGAGCAGAGAGAATTCGTAAAGATGTTTCATAGGGTCGTCGCTCACTGGCCTGCGGCGACATTCTTTGAACGAGTAACAAATGCTACCTTCTTAAAAAAGAATAACTAATCTTTTAATACGCGTTACGTATTATAAAATACGAAAAGTACGTATAAAAGTTTTTTAAAAATTTTATTTTACAATTATTCAGGTAAATCAATTTTATCCCCTTCAAAAACATAATGCACTTGTGCCAACGCCGTTTCCACTGTGAGAAGGCTCCTTGAAAGTCCTCTGGTTGTAGGTTTCTCAGCTGCCCCGTCGTAGCTTTTTTTATCTCATTTATGTCCCCCAAATGCCGCCCCCGAAGTACCAATTTGGTTTTTGGGAACAAGAAGAAGTCACACGGGGCCAAATCCGGCGAATAGGGGGGGGGGTGTTCGGTCACCGTAATGGAATTTTTACTCAAAAACTCACGGACAACAAGAGAGGTGTGGGCAGGGGCATTGTCGTGGTGAAGAATCCAACGCCCCTCTCGCGCCAATTCTGGACGAACTCGTGCCACACGACTGTCTGACCGTTAAACGACGGTCCCCATTAACACAAGTTCGAATTCTTTCCACGTTTTCGTCGGAATGTGAAGTGGAAGGACGTCCTGAACGTGGGTCATCTTGAACGCTTTCTCGACTTGTGGACGGTTGTTCCTTCACAGCATCATCCCCATAAACTGTTCTGAGATCGGCAAAAATTTCACGGCCATTCTTGCCGAGTTTCGAGAGAAACTTGATTACGACGCGCTGCTCTTCAACGGAAGCGGGCTCCACGACGACCGACGCCGGTCGGTCGCCGGGCCGACGGGGTTTCGTTAAGAGGTAACTTCACAGATGGCGTGACAAGCCAGTTCGCACCGCACGGCGGTCAGACCAGAACTGAAGCATTGTTAGGGACATAAGGAAGGGGTCCTGCGCTTACCTGGCCTCCCCACTCCTCTTTCTCGCATTCCAGAACACTTTTATACGAACTTTCCGGACAGACCTCGTATAATTGTATTGCTGTGGTTCAGTGAGTGAAGATCCGTACCCCGAGTGAGAAAAAAAATTATGTATGAGAGTGGGGAGGGCTCGCAGCCCCCCAAGTGTGTGCGACGTGTCGTAGAAGTTTAACAGTTCTAACGTCCAGTTATTGCGAACCAGGCCCATGGTTCGTCGGGTACAACGATGTGCCAACTCCAGTATTTTGAAATTTAGTACCTCATTTCTAATGTTTTTTACTATTAACAATCTTGTCGTTATTTTGACGTGTTGAATGTTGTAATATACCTAAGTAAGTATTATTTATATTTAATTTCACGTTAATTAGTTAATTTATTGTTTGATGTTATGTTTCCATTAGTAGATATGAGTAAATATTGTGTCCCAAACTGTGACGAACCAGTGTAACGTGATCTCTTTATCTAATACTATGTATACTAGAATACTGTCCATGAATATACAATTTAGGTTAATTTTGACGTATAATAAACAGAGGAGATGCAAAAAAAAAATCAACTGCTGTTTCTATGCAACCAATCTGGTTGATAAAATAGAATGATTGATAAAAATGTAATATGCTCATATTTGGTATTTTCTCCACTAAAAAAGTACATAGAAATGTTTTAAATAGCCAAAAACCTATATTTGTGTAAAATAGTTCTAAGCAGGTAGCCTTTTTCTTTCTTGTGAAATGAATATTTTAAATTAACATACCTACCTACCTACAATATACAGAAACAGAAGGCCTACCATGAAATGTTTCCCGAAATTTCGGAGCCGAATCGAACACAAATTTGATGTTAAAATTACATAATGCATACCGTTTAAAATTATTAATTTCGTTTTAAAAATTTTCTTTTTTTTTTTATTAATAATTAATCCGAATTTTCGGATATAATTTCTTGTGTTTCCGTTCATACCTTTCCATACGGTTCCTACCGTAAAAGTCCAAAAGAACGATATTTTATCATTTTTAATATTTTTAAACAGTATATATACCGCTTAAAAATATTAAATCCTATTATTAATTCCTGTATTTTTAACATCAAATTTTTGTTTCGTTCGGCCACGAATTTCGGAAAACATTTCATGGTAGGCGCTCTACTTTAGATAAATAAATCATGGGTTGCATCATTGCAATATAAGTTTTATGCAAAAACGTATAACGGGAAATATTGTCTTCGGTCGACAAACACTTATCTTGTCTGTACAGGCTTCAAAACGTTCTGCTGATGGGCAAACACCTCTATTTAAATAAATATGCTCACGCCCAAACCACCACATTCATACAAACCAAAAAAATATGGCTACCATATTACTAACATGTGTGTTACAAGTTGACCTCCTGGTTTTTTTTGATGGGTGAAAATGGTATGGTTACCCCGCCTGCACTAACGGGATACGCTGGCGGAGCACCAGTGAAGGGTGATAGGTGAGAATGAAAACAGGCCAGTTAGCCCATCATTATGAATTCATCAGAAATTAACCATAATAGTTTCCAGAAGGAACCGCGAGGAGGTCGACCTTGTTGGGTATATTACTAGCAATGGGATTCTCAGTCTCCATTACTAACAATCCCTTTCCCCCGCCTCCTCGCGGTTCCCCCTGGAAACCATCGTTGCTGATCCATTGGTGAATTTGTCGCGATGGGATAACTGACCTGCTTCATCTTCACTTATCACACTTTCTTTTTTCAATGGATGGCAACGGAATAGTAACCCCGCCTGCGCTAACGGTATACGCTGGGGCACCAGTGAGGGGTGACAGGTGAGAATAAAAAGGCCGGCCAGTTAGCCCATTGTGATGAATACACCTGGAATTCAGCGCGATGGTTTCCAGAGGGGACCACGTGGAGGTCGACCTGATTGGGTACACTTATTTTATTGTCTGTTTATTATATTATACTAATTCAAATACTAAATTCCCAAGATATATGCTACAATTGGTGACCGGTTCCCAACGGTGGTGACTTACCCATCAGCAGACCCAAGAATAAGATTGTCATTTTACGTATACATATATCAATTAATCAAGAAAAATAAAGAAACGGTAATTTCCATCTTCATTTAATACTGTTGCGTGTAATTATGTTCTCTTACGTTGTAGATTATGTGCTTATTATGTTAGGGTACAGTCAGCTTCTTACATATTTATTGACATGGTGGGCAATCCTCTTGACAGGGGGGAAAGGGCATGTTAGCATTGGAGTTTGACAGCCCCATTGCTAGCAATATGCCTTATTAGGTCGATCTCCACGTGGTTCCCCCTGGAAACCATCGTGAACAATTCTTGTGGAATTCGTCACGATGGGCTAACTGACCTGCTTCATCCTCATCTATCATCATGCCCCGCCGGTGTATACCGATAGCGCGGGTGAGGTTACCATTCCATTATCTCTATTAAAAAAAATCCTGTTGACAGCACCGTTTTTTTTTTACACAACGAAGAGGCAAACAAGCATACAGCCCGTCTGATGGTAACTGCATGGATGGCAACGGTTACTGTAGCCTAAAAAACCTTAATAGACTCTTTTTGAAAAACCCCATACTTAACGTTGTGTTCTTGAAATGAAGATGAGGATCTAAATCCGACGATGTGCAATCGATGGGGATTGCTCGCATGTTTTTTTTTTTCTTTTTTTAAATACTGATAATGGAATGGTAACCCCGCCTGCGCTATCAGTATACACCGGCAGGTCACCAGAGGGGGATGATAGGTGTGAATGAAGCAGGTCAGTTAGTCCACCGTGACGAATCTAATAATAAATCAATCATGATGGTTTCCAGGGGGCACCACGAGAAGGTCGACCTGACAGGGTATATTGCTAGCAATGGGGCTAATCCCTGTTACTAACAATTCCTTCTCCCCCCGTTGCTCGCGTGTTAGCCGTGATTAATTTTGTCATGATTGAAGTAGCAAATCAACCGGGGGGAAAGGGATTGTTAGTAATGGAGACTGACAATCCCATTGCTAGCAATATACCCAACCAGGTTGACCTCCTCGAGGTTCTCCCTGGAAACTATCATGGTCAATTCCTGATGAATTCATCATGATGGGCTAACTGGCCTGTTTTCATTCTCATCTATCACCCTTCACTGGTGCTCCGCCAGCGTATCCCGTTAGTGCAGGCGGGGTTACCATACCATTTTCACCCATCAAAAAAAAAAATATATAATTAACCATACTTATGATACATATATATGAAGCTGACTGCATCTATACACAACTACAGACTGTTCCGTCGTTCGTGTGGTATCCATGGCCACTTTTGTGACAATTTTACGGTTGATGTAGCGACCGGGAACGGTCGATTCGAAATGTTAATAAATGTAGGTACGTCCATATTTACGCTTGTTTGATTTGCACTCTTCCCAATAAGGCCTTATGCAGATAAGGAACTTGTTCGAGAAAACTACACTAGATAGATAGATAGATAGATAAACACTTTATTTGAGCCATTTATGACACACGTAAATTAACAAATGAGTTTATACAATCAGATTATTTACATTTTTTTCAAATATAAAACAAAAGATAAAGTATGGAAATATGTTTTCACCAAGTGTGTCGCAATGACCCAAATACGCTACAGCTCAGTGATTGTTTTACCTAAAAACAAAGCACTGATTTTCAGCTGCAGCCTGAAGTGAGGCTACACGGACGCGTACAACAAACCCAGTGTAACCTGTGTAACCAATTTAAAAGCCAAAGATAAAATTGTATTATATAGATACATACTTACATAAATGATGCATAAATAATATATTCGATTAATTAATTAAACATTATTAGATCGATCCTGCCTGGGACTCGTCCTGCAAAAATGAGGCATTTTGTCCGTAATCGAAACGTACCTCGTCTACGAAGGCCATTAACACACAAAAAGTACTGTAATATTAGCTCCTTATCTGCGAAAGCCCTGAAGTTTCTCCAGGTAACCAAATTATCTATTGAGGGTTTATGCCACACCTTCCCTCCAAAATACCTCAAACTTTGAAGACGAAGGTCTTTAACCAATAAATATCGCCAGTGATAACCTATGGAACCGCAACCGGTGTTGTGGGTGATCATGGGCGGGGGTAGTCACTTACCATCAGGTGAGACACATGCTCGTTTGCCCCGTGTGTTCTAAAAAAAGCCACGGTCCTATCCTATATCCTTAGCCTACTTATTATAGCCTTTAAACCATAACTTCAAGTTACCCATCAAGCTATGGAGATGGTTAAGCTCAAAGTTTCTTTACGTGATATAATCCGAAATGAGGAAATCTAGAGAAGAACCAGTGACCAACGTATACCGAAGGATAAGCAAGCTGTAGTGGATATTAGCTGGTCACATAGCTCGAAGAACCGGAAACCGATGAGAAAGAAAGTTTCTTGAGGGGCAAATGCAGTATAGAATGCCACAACCCCTTACTAGATGGAGTGAGGATCTCAAATGCATTACAGGAAATCAGTGGACGCAGGTGGCTCGGGACTGTTTCTTATAGCAATATTTGAGGGAGGCCTATGTTCAATAGTAGATAGATAACGGCTGATATGATGATGATGCCATACAATTTCGTCTGCTTGGGTACCTCTATCCCATTCGTATTTCTACCGTAAAGTAGTTGTATTTGCATGGCTGTTTTTCGGTTTGAAGGGTGGGATATGGCCATGAATTTACAGGCTATAAAAAAATAACACCGGAATCCTCAGGAATAGCAACGTATGGGGGGTACCATGGGCGAAACAATACGGCGACGGTTACCACTTTCCATCAGGTGAGCCGTCAGCTTGTTTGCCATTCTAAGTTGCAAATAGCCTTTATATTGCTGGCTGAGAATGATAGTAGAGGTTTTAATCAATTGATTGATTACAATTACATTTGTAGTAAAAATTAACCTATTATGTTTCACCTCTGTGAATGTTGAGTACAACTATAATTGGACTGCAGACTTATAATGCTACTGTTGTATTCTATTGTTAAAAGTTTTGTTTGTAATCTGTTGTTGTAACACAAAAATAAATAAATAAATATATATATATATATATATATATATATATATATATATATATATATATATATATATATATATATATATATATATATATATATATAAATGCTCAATGTCATTCATTTTCCAATATTGAAAACGCGTTTACATTTACCATAAGACAACAACGACCAATTTGACCCGCTACATTTCATAAGATATTCAAAATATGTGTACCATTAAATGAAACTTGTATACTTTTCAATACCGTATGGTACTTTAATCATTAAACAATACAATTACTAAATTATTATGTCGAAAATAATCTTATAGATAGGTATGGAGAATTAATACATTATACACTTATGTAAATAATCATAGACGAAATATAATGGACCTTATATTATATACTGCAATCATAATATTACTCTATATTGGATAATTATAAATAAAAATAAAAACATTACGTAGTCATTGTTAACTTAAGCAAAATGTACAAGTGTGTATGTATTGTCATACAGGACAAGACAACAGTACAAACTGTGATTGTAGAATAGTCTTCTTTATAATATAAATAGGGTTACCGACATAAAAAAATAACAACAACCATGTGTTATTGTTTCCTTCGTAAAGTGTCAAAGTTCAAATCTAAAATCTATTTTAGCATCCGAATGATTCGTCTCTCTAGCAAGTTCTCGATGTAAGTAGAGTGACCAAACCCTTCTCAATGTGTACAGTCATGCTTAGACAATATTACAAATACATATGGAAATGTGATCACACCAGATTATTGCTAATATTGCTACACTTAATCTACCTTATTACAAAACGCAAAATAAAGATGTAATAAACCACAGACTAAATCGATCCCTATTACAAAACGAAGTTTATCAATGAACCGTAGACGATCTAAAGATAAACCTCCAAAATACTTAGTCCTACAGTGGTTTAAGACCAAATATTCATTTTTGAGGTTATGATCACTCTTGTAATAAGACGAGAAATTATTATTTTTATATTCTTTCGTATTTAAAATATTATCCATAGATAGATAGATAGATACTCTTTATTGTTTCCTCCAAAAGATTACAATAGTAAACTTATTATATAAATAATTACAAGAAATAATCACAATGAGACAACAATGGGCGACCTTATCGCTAAAAGCGATCTCTCCCAGACAACCTTTGGATGAAGAGGAGTAATTACAAACAGTTTTTTTTAAGATTTTTATCTAATTTATAAGTTCTGACTTATTAATTAGTTTGTGTAATAATTTTATAAAAAAAAAAAATCGAACTTACATTCCGTTTCATGATACAACTGCTACGAAATAGCGATAAATAGCAATTGCAAAAAATATGTATTAAAATGTCAAAATATGTCAGAACTACTTAAATAGTAATGACGAGAAATTAAATATTATATACAAAACGTATTTCAATTTTATAAACATTGTTTTAAAGTAATAAATTTAAAAAAAAAAACAGTTTTCTGATGAAACGAAACGCACAAATAATTGATGCCCGACACGAATGAATGATTACTGTATACAATCTGTGGAAACATCACATCCACGATTTAAATATGGAATTAAGTATTTCTCTGTTACCTCAGCTGTTGTAATAAAGGCAAATTTACTCTACATATTATCTTTAGGTTTGGTATAAACCTCGACGTATTAAGTCCAAGTATTAACGAATTTTTTGTAGAAGACTGAACATACTCTCTAGTCAAGTGGCAAGCGAATTCGTCGATGGAATCGACATCGCTAGCGAGTCCGTAAGTTGGAATGAAACATACGGCGTTGCTATCTCATTCTATCTCACGGACTCGCTAGCGATGTCGAGTCCATCGTCGAGTTACCTTGCCACTTGTCTAGAGAGACAGGTCACAAAACTCCTCCAGAATTAATAAGAGCACAGCCCACTCATTTGTACTGTACGTATAAATCCTCTCATCTGTATATATAAAATTGGATGATTTGTATGTAATTTGTAAATTAATGATAAATTACAACAATGTAAACAGCAAGACGGTATTCCCTATTATATATAGTTATACAAATTATCATGATGTTACTGTTCAATGATTTAAAGTGGACATTTCTTCCATGAAAAAAATACATAATAATGTACCAAATTTTACGGTGACCATCATAATTTAAATTGCCAAACTAATATTCAATTTTATAAATACAGATTGTGATCGATTGATGTAGAATGTTCCGGAGGTCGATTCTTGCGTACCGTCCCAGCCGAACAAATACAAGGCTAACAAGGCAAGTATTAATGTCCGGAACTATGGTCACTGGTATGGTAAAAGGAAGGATAAGACAGATATTAGCGTGCAATCGGCAACCCTAGCGGTGCGAGGGCCGGTGCAGGCCTACTGCGGCGGCGGCGGCGCGGCGACGGGCGTGTTGGCGGTGGGCGCGTCGTCGAACTTGACGTTGAACAGCGCCTGGCACGCCGCCCGCGCCGCCGCCTTGCGCGCCTCCTTCTTGTTCGACGCTGCAATTAAACAAAATATTTGTTGTCGATTACCCAGTGATTTGAATTTCAGCAAAAGCACACCTAGTTCAATAAAATGTCTCTAATAATCTTCCTTTTTAAATTATATAGACAGAGTGTCTTCATACAAATGCTACGAGAGAAGCGGCTCAACTTTTTCATACAATTTTGCGTGATAAATAGTTACGAGTGATTCCTTTATAACTTCTATATTTATTTTATTATAAAACAAAATAAATATAGAAGTGTACGTCTTTTTAATGCGTAGAAACTCTTTTTATTTATTAAATAACTAAATACATAACACGTTAATAGTACATTACTGCAGCAGCCACCAACTGCGGCATTGATGGACGAATGTGCAAATGTTGGCCGAGGCGCAGCCGAGGCACACATACGTGAGTCCATCAATGCCTAGTTGTGGCCAAGGCTTGTATAGTATTTTTCTCAAACAATGCGCGGAAATCAAAAACACAATTTTACTTTTTAAGTTCAATGACGAATAACGAACAATAATAATTTTATAACGTACCTTTAATAATAGCCATAATGTACCTTTTTTTTTTCAATAAACAGCTTTCAATTTGCAAGCCAGTTCGAAATTTAAATAAAATCTTTTATTAGTGTACCTCCTTGGTAGCCATGCTTCGAAGTAAAAGGTCATTCCATTTTTAAATTACAGGACAGATATGAGTTTATATAGTAATTTATTTGGCCGCAAAACACGACAGATATGGATTTTCATACAACTTTTGCCGGCCGCTGCCCGCATGTATCTGACCAGTACGGCAATTTTGATTTATCTAAAAGAAGATTGTCAAAATAATGCTAACATTTCCAAGCATGTTTGAGAAAAATACATTGCGTGCGTAAGTATATAGAAAATTGATAAAACAACGGAGTCAGTTTTTTGACGAAAAGTTGAAAAACTTTGACGTTCGATGCTCTATCTATATAATCTAAGTGTTCCTTTTGTAGAAAGGGATTTGTTGTTCTGGCAATCTTGTATTCGCATATAGGGTCAGCTAAGCCGTTGCACGTCGACCCAACAGGATCTTCTGTTCTCCCCCTGCTTTATACCATCATTTGTTAGATCCTACATGTTACCTAACTATATCCCGCGGTTTAATATATCTCTAGTCCGTCAATAGTGGCATGTATGTATATATTGCCTACCTTTGCCGACGTAGGTGGCGCCGTCGATGTCGACGCCGAGCGTGAAGAGCATGTTCTGCGGGCGGTCGCCCTCGACGGCGAGCTCGCGGTACTCGAGATGCGGCCGCATGTAGGTGAGCAGCATGCACGGGTGCATGGCGGCGGCGTTCAGCGGCAGCACCTTCGGCGGCTTCACCGCCGCCGCCGCCCCCGCCGCGCGCGACGCTTCCGTTTCCGGCTCGGGCTCCGACACCTACCACAGCCACCTCGTCATCATCATACGTATATACCAGACCAAACGACAAATTATATGTACCAAAGTGCAGGTTAGATTTATATAAAAGAAACGCGTACTGTATGGCTATTAAAGTTTACAACCATCTACCAAATAACATTAGAGAAGTATAGCTATATATAGTATAGTATAAGTATAAGTATAGTATATATAGTATATATACAGTGTTTAAACATTTAAACTTAAAAATTGGCTGTTATGTAATGGGTTTTATACCATTAATGAATATTTCGCTAAATACAAATGTAATTCACTACGTACACTAGAGATACCATTGATGCTTCTGTTCTCGTACACTAATTAATTTTATTAATTTGGACAACTATTGTACAGGCTTTTATTTTCCGTTTACTGTAATAAATATATATATATATATATATATATATATATATATATATATATATATATATATATATATATATATATATATATATATATATATATATATATATATATATATATATATATATATATATATATATATATATATAAATTTCCTATTATTAGTTATTTACACGCCGACATAGAGGCAGAACGTACACGGGAAATATAAACCCCTATCGTCTAAAATTACCTGCATTCCAGCAAAATAAACTCATTACATTATTTCATCATGGGACGCTGCTGCCCATCCCTCACCATCCCTTAGTCGCCTCTTACGACATCCACGGATAAGGAAGAAGTGGACAATTGTATTGCGAGATCACATGGTGTAATAAATATAATGCATGGCACATATTGACTGACCGAAATGGAGGGCGGGCGCAGCTGCGGCACCTTGTGTCCCGCGTACTCCCACTCGAGGAACAGCTTGTGCAGCGCGAACGACGCGATCTGGATCATCGGCAGCGTCTCCTCCTCGTCGCCGTTCTGGGAGCCTGCGCACGCGCACGCGCCTCACATTACGCACCACAACAATATATATATGCATATAGTCTAGAGGCCCATTAGTGGATACGGAGGTATAAACATTAATCCCCAGGCTACCACTTTAATGTAGCAGTCTTAGATTATATATATATATATAGAGTGACTCCATAGAAATGCTTCGAAAAAAGCAACTTAACTTCATACAATTTTGCGTGATTAATAGTTATGAGTGATTTCTTTACAATTTCTATATTTATTTTTACACTTTTTTATTGCGAAAAAACTTATTTTATTTCCCAAAACAATTAAGTATAGATATGTCAAGGTAAATTGTGTACGCAAGTATAAGTATGTACAAAACACTAATCAAAAAACGAGTCATCTAATTTGACAATTAGTTGACAAAAAGTTGACCTATTTTTGAAGCTGCTACCTTATATAGATAGAGCATTGAGCCTCAAAAATATTCTATTATCTAAGTTAATTTGTACACAAGTTGTTGCGGCCAATAATTTAAATCATTCTCCGTCGTTATCCCAATTATTTGTAGTTTGTGTAATATAATTTTATTCATCTATATTTCTTCTGTTATAAAGATAAAAGATTTAAATTTTTTTTGTATGTTTATTTGTTTGTAATAGTTAAACTGTAAAACTACTAAACCAATTTTAAAAATTCTTTCGCTTATAGAAAGCTACATTATAATTGAATAACATACGACTTACATTATATTAAAAAAAAAATAGAGATCTCTAAAAATATTACAAGAATATATCAAAAATTTGTTGATATGAAATACTAATTTATCCTTCAATCCATTTCCCCATACGAAGTACGGAGGAGGGATTGTCAATAATGCAGAATACCAATCCCATTGCTAGCAATATACTCCTATCGGGTCGACCTCCCCGCAGCCCCTTCTGGAAAGCATCATGGTAAATTCCATGTGTATTCATCACGATGGAATAACTGACCTGCTTTTTCATTCTTCGTATATAGATAGCGAGGGGTGGTTAATATTCCATTAATAACAATAATAATAAAGCCTCCTTAATCTCATATTCAACAAGTCTTAAACTGTATTAATTACATTATGGTGAGTACTAAAAATATTAATACCTATGTGTTATGTAGTATTGTAAATATGACCCTCATATTGGGTATTGCCCTCGCCTTGGGAAATTTTAAATAAATTTAAATATAGTATAAATATTGTATATGCATATTTGATAGAATAAACACAACATGGAAGAAATATTGGGCTCAAAAAGAAATCCTTAAAAGGAACTACAGTCTCAACTTAAAAAAAGATAATTATGGATTCCTGCATCCTGCCAAGCCTGACATATGCATGCCAAACATGGACCTATACTGAAAAAATAAAGCACAAAATCCTATCATGTCAGCATGCGATGGAAAGAAGTATCTTAAAGTTAAGAAAAATACAGAAAATAAGAAACACTGATATTAGGAAGAAAACCAAAATAACAGATGCTCTTCAGTATAGTATGAAACAGAAGTGGAGATGGACAGGTCATATAGTGAGGTACAAAGATAAAAGGTGGACTCTCCAAACAACAAAATGGCGAGGTGCAGCAGGAAAAAGAAATGTTGGAAGGCAAAGAAAGAGATGGGCAGATGACATAATAAAGACAGCAGGAAAAAACTGGACAAGTATTGCTATAGATAAGGAGAAGTGGAAAAAGATGGAGGAGGTTTTTTTACCCTTGGGGACCACTGAAGTGGATAGAAAGCTATAATAATAATAATAATGCATATTTGTCCAAATAAAAAAAAAAATAAACTAATTATAAATATGGCCAGTACTAACCATTACCTTCACTGTTAGTGTCGTTGCACGCTTTTGCCAAGCGTTTGATGATGAGGTCCCTGATCGCCTGCTCGGCGGCCGCGTTGCGGGCCATCATCTTGTTCTCGCCTGTGGATCACCACACAAACGACATTTTAAACGGATTCAGTCACTAAATTGTTGATTTATATTAATAAATTATTTCCAACTCACCATAACCCTTGTAAGTCTGCCCTTCCAGTGTCAAGTCAGCACAGAAATTTTGTTTGTTTTGTGATTTAAAGTATGGATTGTTGTCTGCTGGCTCCACTTTAAATTGCTAAAAGATAGAAGCAAAAATAACAAATTTATTACTTTATTTATTTAACTCTCTATTGCACCATTAGTAAAGAATATACAAACATATTAAACATATTTCAACAGTAACACTAAACAAGAAACGCAATAGCGAATCATCTGGACAAGTGGCGGTCTTCCACCGTGCGTTTCTTCCACGCACAACCTTTCTTTGGAATCAACTTCCAGCAGCAGTATTTCCGAACCGATACGACAACATAACCTTCAAGAAAAGAGTATATTCCTTTTTAAAAGGCCGGCAGCACATTTGCAATTCCGCTGGTGTTGTGGGTGATCATGGGCGGCGGTAGTCACTTACCATCAGGTGAGCCGCGTGCTCCTTTGCCCCCTGTGTTGTAGAAAAAAACAAAGATATATTGTAACCACAAACATCATTAATGACGAGATATTTGATAGATAAATTACTTGGAAAAGATCCTAATTAAGGTCGTGAAATCATGTCACTTGAATGCCTAGCCTTTCAACAATTTTTATTTGTGAAAGTTTTGCTTCCCAAATAATATAGTTTCAGGAAAAAAATCAACTTCAATTGTGGCAAAACTAAAAAAAATATTTTGATTTAAAAACTAAACTACTGAACTGAACAGAGGGAGACTTTAGTCGATTGCTTGGGTACCTCTGTCCCATTCGTGTTTCAACCGTAAAGCAGTTGTGTTTGCATGGCTGTGTTTCGGTTTGAAGGCGTGAATTTACAGGGTACAGAGGAATAACACCTGTGTCCTCAGGAATAGCAACACATGGGGGTATCATGGGCGAAACAGTATACTCTGTTATGTCCATGGTACTGCTCATGTCTATAGGCGACGGTTACCACTTTCCATCAGGTGGGCCGTCAGCTTGTTTGCCATTCTAAGTTGCATAAAAAAAATTCACTACAATGAACCAACTGGCCTGTTTTCATCCTCACTGGTGTTCTGCTAGCGTACACCGATAGCGCAGAGATCACCATTCCATTCTCACCCATTAAAAGTACCCCCCCCCCCCCCCACTCCCCAGCGACAATTCTATTGTGAACAACTAACATTGTTCATCTGTTCCTGCAGCATCATCTCGTTGAGCACCATAAGCGCGTTCTTGGGCACGAGCAGGCGGCGGAGATGCTCGTTCTGCCGGCGGCGCCTCTCCCTCTTTGTGATCTTTCTTACTGTGCACAAAAATATCATCAAAGTATCAAACTGACGTGTCAGTATAAATAGATTTAGCTCCACAAAAGAAAAATAGCAATATCAACTAAATCTATGTTGACAAGTAACAAATCCCAATTGACAATTTTTAATTGTTTTAAATTCATTTATTGCATATAAATTTTATTTTGTCTTTGCCTCGACATTTAAATACATGTTATTATTACAATAATAATATTAATATATTATTTACTTCATTCTCGGCTAATTTGCCGGTTTTCTCAGACAACCCGTCCCAAAAACGTTTGGAAAAAAGAAAGCTGAGATCCCAACCCCTTTTATTACGTGTGTGTATGCAAATATGCATATATATTATACTTATGCTTCATAGCTCTATACGTGTGTGTGCGTGTCTGTAGTGGTGTGATGCGGTGCATCTTGTAAGTTTAGTGTGATTATTGTATTTCCTAGTACTTTACATATTATGATCGAGGAATGCATGGCTGCTTGTTTTTGTAATATACCTATATTGATGTTCGCGTGTAGTTGTTCGCAATACCTACTCAAGCTATTCGCTATTACACCTGTCGCTCCCACTATTATTGGCAATACTGTCGCTTGTGTTTTCCATAATCTAGTAATTTCGGTTTTTAATTTATGATATTTATTAAGTTTTTTCATTTCTTTAGCTCCAATATTATAATCTGACGGAACACTGATGTCTAATAGGTATGTTTTATTATGTATTTTATCTATATAGATAAGATTGGGTCGATTGTGATTGACTGTTATATCTGTCTGTACCGGCATTTCCCATAATATTTTTGCTGTATTATTCTCCACTGTTTGTGGTTGTAATGTAATTTATTAAATCATTTTATTTAAGTACACTTCAATTGAGTACACTTAAAAAACTCAGCTGTTACTTTTTTCAAACAATTGAATTTTATAAAATTATGAATTTGTGTGAATATATCACATTACATACAAATCATACAAAACGTTACTGAGAACATCCATTTCAAAAGTTGCTTATAAAAATGAAGAAATCTTATTATTTGTGACATTGTAGTAAGATCACGAATTGATTCAGAACTAGTCAAGTTTTTTCGATCTAATTACATTAAACCACACACGCACGCTCGCACGCACGCACGCACGCACGCACGCACGCACACGCGCATACATTTTTATCACAATTTCACTGAACCCATAAATTATTGTTTCTCTAAAATTATGGGCTCCATTGTAATTTTTGTTTTTGTATTTGTTACTTCTCTGTTTCATATTGTTTCACTAAACATGTAAAACAACAAGATATGGAAGAGGGCACTGACTCCTGAAACACAGGTTTTTTCATACCTACCTCGGGAGTTAGGGACTTAACACTATATTGTAACAAAGAGTGAAATAAAGATCATTTATTATTATTATTAAACCGGTAGTTAAAAATTCTCTGTACTATTATGAATAAGACTGATCGGCTCTATGCCAATTTACTCTATTTGCAAGTGACTCAAAAGGAACGTTGTCAATTCCGTTGTATTATAAAACAAGACTCACGGCCGGGTATTCTTGGTTTCATCCAGTGCGGACGAGTTGCTCCATCTGAATTGGAATCCTCCATATCTCCAATCTCTGGTTTCATTTCAATTTCAGCATTCTGTACAAAATAAAATATAAATATAGAAACAATAAACACAAACAGCTGTTTGCCATGCAAACAACCTTTTGAAAAAGGGATTATGTCAGAGATATGACTTTACAGGGAATGGAAGTACAACACGTTAATTTCTACGAATGGTAATGTATGTGGCGAACCATGAGTCCACAGTATTTTTTACGGGGTTCATGTCCATAGGTGACCACTTTCCACCAGATGGGCTTTTAGCTTGTATATTATTACATATTATGTAATAAAGTTTAATTATTCATATATAATTATTAAAAAATTATATATTTATTTTTTAAATTATTATTCAAGTGTAGTAGTCATACAGAAGTGTCACTGGTGAATCTCTACGTCAAACTGGGCTAACGAGCTGCATCCTTCCACAAGTTTATAAAGTGCTGACCTAAGCATTGATAGACACCTTAATAGATACAGGGACTATAACCAGATTGTCCCCGAAATTTCGGAATAATTTCCATAGTACGCTCTCCGATTCTCATAAAAACAGATTGTTCTCATATGCTTGAATTTGAAATTCATTTATGCTAGTATTCTATTTGGCTTTAGTATACTACAAAGGTAAGTAGGTTGTTTCCAACAAGCATACAACTACAATTTTTTTTTCAGCTAACAATATGAAAATACAAAAGAACAACATCTGACAACTTTATAATCTTAGATTATATAGACAGTGTCTCCGTAAAAATACTTCGAGAAAAACGAGTCAACTTTTTCACACAATTTTGCGTGATAAATTGTTCCGAGTGATATTTTTTTTCCTTCATTCCTTTGTAACTTCTATATTTATTTTGTCTTATAAATTCTGCATCTTTTTAATGCGTAAACACTCATTTTATTTATTAAATAATACGTCAAGATACATTTTATGCGGAAATATTAAGTTTCATCCCAATCATCGTGCGTTTTTCAAGGCACTTTCTTCCACGCACAACCACTCTTTGGAATCAACTTCCAGTAGCAGTATTTCCGAACTGATACGACAACATAACCTTCAAGAAAAGAGTATATTCCTTTTTAAAAGGCCGGCAGCACACCTGCACGCTGGTGTTGTGTGTGATCATGGGCGGCGGTAGTCACTTACCATCAGGTGAGCCGCATGCTCGTTTGCCCCCTGTGTTGTAAAAAATAATATAGAATACTGATAAAAAAGGAGTCAGCTAATTTGAGAATTAGCTGACAAAGTTGACCCGTTTTTGAGGCTCAAGGCTCTCAAGGTATATAATCTAAGTTTATATTATATAACGCTATTCAATACTGATATAGCAAAATAATTTCATATTATTGATGATGCATATGATTGGTGGAATTCATAGACTGTGGTGGGCTCTCACCATAATGCAAAACTTCTTTGCCACGGCTGTGATAAAAAAATGCCATTCAAAACTGTATAAAATCAAAACCAACATCAGATTCCAAATTAGATTCATAGTCCTGCTGCTGCTGTTCAGCCGGAGGCGGCTGCTGCGGTAGAGGCGGCTGCTGCGGCGCCTGGCTGAACTGCTGCTGTGGTATTGGAGGCGGAGGCAGCTTCGACTGCTGCTGCTGCTGCTGCCCATACTGCTGCATATTACCAAACTGCTGCGGCTGTTGCTGTTGGAATAATTATATATAGTAAGCATGTGAATTGTTGATGAGACTGTATTATACATACAATGAAATTTTTTTTTATCAAAATGAAAAAATAAAAAACTATAGAAAACAAGTTATGCACGTTAATTTTAATTTTATTTATTTTTTGTCTATGATTTGAAAACCTGCTAGTTTCAAGGGCTCTGGCTTACAAATAACACAATTTATATATATAAAATGTAAACTTACCTCTGTCAAAACTATATAATAAAGTATAATAAATTAATAACTTCCTAGAAGCATTCTTAACATACTCACTGCTGACTACATTATTTAAAAATGTTAATTGTAGGCAACACTTTATTTTTAACAGCTGATGAGAAGGCAAAACCTAGAGCAGGTACAATTACTATCAACTTTTCGATATCTAAACAAAATTATTCTTGGTTGAACTAGGATAGACATAGATCAATCCAAATCTAGACTCCCTCTGCTATGTACATCAACAATGAATGTGTTACACACTATAGGTACAGTACTTACACCAACAGCCTCATTGGTGCAGGCGACGTGTTCCGTAGCGCGCCGTCGCCGCCGGCCACAGCGCCGCGCCCGACCAGCTGGCCTCAGTCAGCTGCGTGAGCCATGTGCCACACCTCTCACTCACAAACATTCATCACACACACTCACAGCTGCAACGTACACTTGCAGCTAACCTCTTCCACTCATGCTAGCCATTTATGAAGTGTTGCATGTAACTGTCATCTCTTTCACACTGTGAGGGTACGCACACATCACCCATCTCCCTCCATATTCCTATCATGACTTTACCCAATGAAATTGCACCTTCAGTGTTTACTCACATACCATGTATTTCAGTTACAAGTACCTTCTAAGTAATTTCAGTTACAATTCCAGAGGACAGTCATGTGAGGAATCTTGAGGCAGCCTACAGTCTACTTAAGTCTAGAGAACCCCGTATGTGCACGATACCTATCAGTCTCGTGACCATAATGATTTCTCGACCCATTATCACTGCCCTCTGAGAGGCTAACACACTGCAACCTTGACGTAATTGTGCCCAATTATGAAAAAATAGCCTTCTTAGCCAAGGCTTTCTTAAGCAAGGCTAGACTTCTTAGGCAATCTTATTGGTGAGAACCATTCATTGTAATAGACTATGGAGCAAAGTACCATGCTCAAGTCTATGGCAATGCTGGTTGGCAGGTTGTCAGGGTGCAAGCACTGTCAGAGGGAAGCCATCGACTACATCGGGCCAGTGTCGGGGCATGGGCTTGGTAATTCTGTGATAACAGATACCAATTATTATTTTTTGCTTATATAACACTTATTATAAAATAATCTCAACAAGTACACTTTACCGACACAATTGACAACTTAATTATATGAAACATTAAGGACTTTGTATGCAAAAATACATATTGAGAGTAGAAGCCAAACATATTCACAAATTACAAACATTAATAAAAAATCAATAGTTCACTATAAATAAATACTTATTAAAAATAACTAGTGTTGATAAGAAAAATGCAAACCTCTCCAGCAGACACGAACTGTCCCGGCGTATTGTAGCGACCAGTGGAATTACGCGTTCGATCTACAGACAAAAATACCACGTTAAAATAGAACAGCAAAAATCAATAAGCCGAAATGGCTATCTACATAACTATATAATACTTTAGATAGCATCTAAAATAATTCAAAACTTTAAAAAGTGAACAGAAAATAATGGAATTAGTCCAAATTGTTTCATTATACGTCATGTAAAAATAAAATGCACTTACATTGCCTGTTGAAAGACATCTCAGTAAAATATTATAAGAATTCAGAAATATAAATATCAATTTAATTTAACTGATTTATTATTATCACACAATTATATTAAACACGTATATATATATTGTTATTATTGAATTAAGAGTTAAACAAAAAACGAGATATGAGTGACGATGAAGCCGCTCAATATCATAGAGTAGGAGGGACTTTTTTTTTAGTAAAGAGCAAAACAGAATTAAGTGCAACAAAGAGAAGATTTAAAAAATATCTATGGTAGTAATATCATAAGTGGATAGAGTCGATAGGTACTTTGGAACCTATAAGCGATTAACTAGCGTTTACTGCGATTTAGGAACAAAAATTACTGTTTACTAATTATATTTATCCTTTGGCATTAGATTATAAAAAGCAATGAAAAAAATTCTGGTGAATCAACATTTTATTCTTATTAACTACTTATTATAATAGAACTAACAATTGTTCGCAAAATGTTCGTAATATCAATGCGAACACTGTGCTAATGGAGTTTTTATCGATCATAGGTTTCATATTGCTCCTAATAGCCTCGTACACTGCCATAATTGCAAATTATCATTTTTTTGTCATGTTTTTATTTTACAAATAAATATATTTACTTGTTTACTTTATTCGAGTATTATGGAATCTTTAACAATAGTCTCTATTAGTAGTAATACTGTATACTTAAACATACTTAAATTACATGCTTTCGTCTGTATGTAAAAAGATAACAAGTAAACTTCCTTTATGTTCATATTACTAGCAAGGATAGCAAAGAATAGCAATATCGTTATATTTTCTCGTTGTAAAAGGGCGATAAGAAAGTAATACAATGTGGATAATAAGGACGGTACATCACTAATTTGTGAATTAACAGGCAATTTGAAAGAGACAATTATATAGAATGTGAAGAAATTTTTAATATTGGCGACATTGCAAAAACCAAAAATCAAGCCTGCAATTGTCAATGTCCATTGTCAAAGTCAAAACATTACAAAAAAGCCACTAGTATTAGAATTAATTAATTATAATTAATTGGAAATGAAGAAATGAAACACACTTTCACAACAAAATTGTTTGAAATTGTCGTCTTTTTATTAGTGCTTGATAATATTTTGTAGTTGTACTAAATTAACAACCATATCTTGGGCGTGTGACAGTGCAGTGGAGTTGTTTGCATACAAGTTAAAACTTGTGTTGATTGTGTAGTATTGTTCAACAATTTATATTTCCGCCTTTGTTATCACAGAAATGCTCAATATAATTGAGCAATGATTGTTTGTAATTTAAGAAATCATATAAACTCCACTCAACCGCTGTAAGTACCATATCCACAGTATAATTTATATTTGTAATAACCGACAAACGGGAAACTTCAAAATATATCAGTACTAGCTTTTATCCGTGACTTCGTCTACGTGACCGGAATATATATTTGCTGGGATAAAAAGTACCCTTTTTTTTTTTCTTTTCTAAAAAAATTGTTTGTACTAAATTTCATAATGATTTTTTATGCCATAAAAGCATCAAGAGGTAACAATTGAACTAATTCCTATTTATATTAGCTTTTACCCATTACATTGTCTGAATAACTGAGATATATTAATTTGTCATGATTAAAATAACCCGTCCTTCACCTTGCCAAATATGTACCAAATTAAAAAAAAATTGTTAAGTTCTTATGGTGATAAAAAGTATCAAAATAATTTTCACATTTATAATATTAATAACTAGCGACCTGCCCCGGCTTCACTTGGGTGCAATACCGCATCTGCTATGTTCTTGCATTTTAAATCTGTAATATCTTCGGAAATATTCGTTTTAATAACATGCTGTAAAGGGTCATATTGATCTAAATTAGATGGACATTGTATTTAAGGTACTTAATTGAATAAAAATTAATGCTGTTGTTTTTCCATAAAATGTAAAGGATAAAAAATGATTACTGGAAAAATATAGGTGATTTATATGAGTGAAGCTGCTGGATACAACTGGTATTAAATAAATTAGGTACTACGTAATAACATCACTTGTTGTATTCACAGACATATTTCAGACTCCCCAGCTTCCTGGGTGAGCTATCTCCTTCTAGAATTGTTGTACTCTGTATTTGTGTAAAACTCAGGTTTCTTTTGAACAGATAAAAATCGAATTGTAATTCTACATAATCTATTGATTTATATTGAACATGAAAGAGGAAAGAGATAGGTTTATTGGTTTACTGGGATAAGTTCATTAGAAATTTCGAGAGTAATTATGTGGAGGTTCATTTGATAAGAGATACTATATAAAATCATTATGATTGACAATCCTTCCACAATCAGATTGGATAACTGGTGGCGGCACAGAGGATGTGGCAGAGCGCGGGTGGAGGCGGCGGGCACTGCGTGGCGGTGTGGGAGTGGCGCGGCGCGGAGGGCTGGCTGCCGCTGGCGCCGGGCGTGAGCCGCACGCTGGAGCGCGCGCACGCCAAGCGGCTGACGCGCGTGGCGCTGGCCGACGCCGAGCCCGCGCTGCGCGGCCACCACGTGAACCTGCGCGCGCTCAGCATGAGCCGCGAGCTGGCGGCCGGCCGCGCCGCCACCTGCGCCGTGCGCCGCGCGCTCTACGACCGCCGCTCGCCCGCCGCGCGCGGCCTGCGCTGGGACTGGGCCGCCGCCGCCGCCGCCGCCGAGTCGTCGTACGAACCGCTGCCCATGGACGTGCAGTGCCGGCTGGAGGAGGCGTGCGAGGCGGGCGGCACGGTGTCGTTCGCGGGCTGGGCGCTGTGCGCGGCGCAGCGGACGGCGCGGCGCGCGGGGCTGGTGCGGCCGCTGCGCCGCGTGCCGCAGCCGCCCTACCCGCTCGCGCCCGCGCCCGCCGCCGCCGCCGCCGCCAGCAGCCTACACGACCCACCGCCGCCGCCGCCGCCGCCCGAGCGACCCGTGCAGGAAGGTATGTACACGTTTGTACACTGCACGACACCAGCATCATATTAAGTATATTTTCTATCACACAAATACTTACCATACAGGGTCTTTTGATTGGGCCATTGTGAGCATAGGCTACGGGTAATACAGCCAACCAGCTCCACCCAGAAGTACAGAAGCTTCCTGGAATCTTCACAGACCTCACACAGGGACCTCACCATTCTGAGAATTTTTTTTCTATCTAGATATAATAGACGTTTTAATACTCGTTTATTCAACATTGATACAACCAGTTTTGATTGTCTGCAATCAGTAGCCTGTATCCATCTTTTTTTTCTTTTATACCACTGAAGTGACAAACAAGCATACAGCCCACCTGATACCAAAGGTATTACGCGCGCGTTACCGACCCTGAAAAAACCTCTTAACCCCCTCTTTTGAAGAACCCCATGCTGTAGTTTCTTGAAAAAACCTTGGCAGGGAGCTCATTTCTTCATTAGTTTTGTATGTCAGCGAATTTTTGACGAATCCATCTTCGAAACTGCAAGAACGGAAGAGGAAGTGTATACGAGTCCACCACTTTCGTTCCAGAACCCCTTATAACTAGTGGATTTAGGTCTACATTTAGTAGACTGTTCTTACATTTAGAGGCAACCACAGCGTGATTTGTGTTTGAGAAACATTGAATTATATAGATATTAATACTATGATCAACTGAGGATGTCTAATGATATCGCCATCGCTCCTATCAGGGCGAAGAGCACACATCCCGCAGCAGCACACGGGCTCGAGCGTGCAGTCGGTGCAGTCGGCGCAGTCGCTGCAGGCCGCGCAGCCGCTGCAGCCGCTGCAGCCGCTGCAGCCGCTGCCGGCGCGGCAGGGCGCCCGCAGCGCCTCGCCGCGGGAACGCAAGCCGGGGCTGGCGCGGCAGATACTGCACAACTTGAATATATTCAGTTAGTCGACGTTTTTGTTTGCTTTATTTATAATCTATACTGATTTCAAAATCTATATTATACTAGCTGACCAGGCAAACGTTGTTTTACCATATATATTATTTCTAAAACTATACATGAAAATTCATCGTACTTTCAATTGCCATATTGCAACCTTGCCTATCCCTCGCCCTATCTTAGTCGCCTCTTACGACACCCACGGGAAAGGAAGCGGTGACCTATTTTATGCCGGGATAACACGGTTGTCAATTTATTCGGGTACAAATTTTAAAGGTGATATTATGATTGAAGGTAACAACAACAAAGCCAGCGGGCACGCGGACAGCAAGCAGCAGCTGTCGCGTAGCGCGGAGCAGCTGGGCGGCGCCGCGACCCGCGCCCGCCGCCACAGCGTCGACACCGTCTCCACCTACCTCAGCCACGAGAGCAAGGACAGCCTGCAGGTACGACTCCTCTCTAAATATTCATCTATCTATCTATCTATATATGGAATTTAGACTAATTAGAGAATGCTTGTTAAACATGTACTGCCAACATTGCATCTTGAACTTTATAGATAGATAGATACAATACAAATTGTACAAAAGTCGATTGCTTGGGTACCTCTGTCTCATTCGTGTTTCAACCTTGAAGCAATTGTGTTTGCATGGCTGTGTTTCGGTTAGCTTACTTATTATTATTCATGTATAGTTTATAGCTGCTTTTGTTGAGACAATGGTGGGAATTATCAAGTCACTTGTTCTCATATTTTATTTTTTTATTCAGTGAAAATGTCAGCAATGGAACTATTTAAAAATTATTATTATTATAAATAAACTAATATAATATATATAATAGTATATAAGTATATATAATTAGTAGGGATATATGTTTTACATTATTAGATGTATCAAATCTCTATTTTAAGAAATAATAGCATCTTCATCGTGCCTCCAATCAAACTGTTTATAATTACTCCTCTCCATCCAAAGGTTGCCTGGAAGAGATCGCATTTAGCGATAAGGTCACCCATTGTTTTCTCATTGTGATTATTTCTTGTAATTGTTTATATTTATAATAAGTCTACTATTGTAATCTTTTGGAGGAAACAGTAAAGAGTATCTTTTTTTATACAACTTAGAATGGCAAACAAGCTGACGGCCCACCTGGTGGTAAGCGTCGCCTATAGACATGAGCAGTACCATGGACATAACAGAGTATTATGTCCATGTACATTCTTGAGGACTCAGGTGTTATTCATCTGTACATAGTAAATTCACGCCATATCCCACCCTTCAAACCGAAACACATCCATGCAAACACAACTGCTTCACGGTTGAAACACGAATGGGACAGAGGGAAACCAGTGGGAGCTCGTATCATGAAGCAATTGCTTCTGTACTTGGTGTTCAAAACAAAAATATTGTAATACAAACTATGTCATATTTGTAAAATACTTTTTTGTTTCTCTTTTGTTTTAACAGAATGTTTCTTTTGTCTTCCTTATGACATCACAATACATGCACGTCTATAATACAGCATTTTTATCTAATTTTATTATTCTGGTTTAAAATTCCTGCCTAATTTATTTATAACAAAATTAACGACCAGCTAGGAGCTGTACATTGGGTGCAAGTTAGTGGAATATTAACCCTTTTAGTGTGTTAATGATGTGCGTTTGCGTTTCGATGATGAACGGATGATATGATGATAATGATGATGATGATGATGAATAAATACACCTCATATTTGAAGCGGTTTAACTAGCGTAAATAAAAAATAAATAATTTTGAATCGTTGATGTAATATAAATTTGATGTAATGCGTTGAAGTTTTGTTTTGCAAGTAAGTTACAGTTTGAAACCTGAAAGGTCATGTAAATTTCTCCTGCGTTATGATTGGCGTTCTCGTGATGTCGTGATGAGCGGCTCTTGTGACTGGTTGACGTTGTGTGTGATTGTCTATTAATAACTTAGCAGTCGTCCATTGGTGTTACCGCTGAAACCGCTTCATTATATGCAGGAGTGAATAATCTTCATGGCATATTGTTAATGCTTTAACAAGTGCCATTGATTTTTACTCATATCTACTTAAAATGCCAAAGAAATCTTTGTCGTGTTGATGTCATTTACGCTTGTCTCTAAAAAACTGTATCTCCTCTAAAAATTATCCAATTTTAATATTGTTTTTACTGCAAGTTAAACAGCGACTGATTTCACGAGCGCTATGACGCTCGTGGCACTTTTAGTTGCAATGCGCACGCGCGCGATGGCGCTCGTCGGCACTCAAAGGGTTAAAAAATCCAAAATGACGCGAGTTAGTATTAGGAACTTTTAGGGAAATTTTTATAAAGATGTTTCACTTGTAAAAACTACTTTTTTTTAATCTGTGATAATGGAATAGTAACCCCACCCGCGCTATCGATATACACCGGCGTGGCACCAGTGAAGGATGATAGGTGAGGATGAAGCAGGTCAGTTAGCCCATCGTGACGAATTCAACAAGAATTGTTCACGATGGTTTCCCAGGGGAACCACGTGGAGGTTGATCTAATAGGGCATATTGAGGGGGAAAAGGGATTGTTAGTAATGGAGTCTGAGAATCCTATTGCTAGCAATATACCCAACCAGGTCGACCTCCTCACGGTTCTCCCTGGAAACTATCATGGTTAATTCCTGATGAATTCATCATGATGGGCTAACTGGCCTGTTTTCAATCTCATCTATCACCCTTTAATGGTGCTCCTCCAGCGTATCCCGTTAGTGCAGACAGGGTTATCATACCATTTTCACCCAGCTAAAAAATATGGCATATTGCTAGCAAGGGGGCTGTGTAACTCCATTGCTAACAATCCCTTTTCCTCTGTAACAACTACTAGCCTAGTGTTACTGAGACACACATTTTAAATCTCACAGCAAGGTTCGGTGGGTGAACTGCTGAACTGCAGCGCGGGCAGCGACGACGTGTTCGACGCGCCGCTGTCGCCCGCCGAGCTCGACGTGCCCGACATGCCCGACATGCCCGACATGCCCGACATGTCCGACGTGCCCGACATATCCGACATATCCGACATGTCCGACGTGCCCGACATACCCCTCTCGGACGGCTCCATCGTCGGTCAGTGGGAGCATTCCATTTTTAAATTGATTATTTGATTGGGAGGGAATGCGTTTAGCATTAATTCTGTCTTGTACATATATATGTACTAAAGAGGATATTTGTTTTAACCTATACATAGGGTTAAAAACTTTTTTATTCTTGTTTTTCTCTTGTTATTATTGTTTTTACTGATGTTTTCTGTTTTTTTTTTTTTACCTATTGTTTTGCACATATTTGTGTATTATATTACTGTTAACCGTTCGTAAAATAAGATGTTACAAATTGAAATTAATCGTCCGGCAACGGTTATTAGTGGACTGTATGAAAATTATTATGATGATGGTAGGTAAATAATGAACACAAGAGGATAATGAAGGTGGAGACCACTGACCTGAAGCTTTGTAGTTAGCACGATTCGGTTCTGGCTTTAGGCTTTCCAGTACTTCTGACTCGTTCGAACTTACCCTCAGATCCGGGTTACCTATCCACCGCCTTGAACCGACCAGCAGTGCAATGCCCTGCTCTCAATCAGCCTCTTGGTTATATGTTATATAATTAAAAGCGATACGAAACGATATATATTTATTTGTAGGATATTCGCGGCAATATATGCACGCGAGCGATATTTGAAAACAAGAACGACGATAACGAACGCACGTCCTACCGACACATTTGATAACGATAGACAAGATTTTTTTTTCTTTTTTACGATATTGTTGCCAGGCGGAATTTATTAAAGCTACAATTCTTAACAATTACTCTAAATGTTAATTTATGTATTTAATGGATCAGGTTAGGTGATGAGGTGCTAATTGAAAATCAGCGTTTCTGCTTCTGCAGGAACTTCAAGCTGAATTGGCATCCCCTTTCATTTCCATAATAATTTCTGATTTTAACTATACTTTATATATAAAGTCGTTTGCTTGGGTACCTGTCCCATTCGTGTTTCAACCGTGAAGCAGTTGTGTTTGCATGGCTCTGTTTCGATTTGAAGGGTGGGATATGGCGTGAATTTACTGGGTACAGAGGAATAACACCCGAGTCCTCAGGAATGGCAACGCGGGGGGGGGTATCATGGCTCATGTCTATAGGCGACGGTTACCACTTTCCATCAGGTGGGCCGTCAGCTTGTTTGGCATTCTAAGTAGTATAAAAAAAAAACTTTATATATAAATGTAAACTTTTTTTTATGCTTTTTTTTTAAGTATTATTTGCAATCTAAGTATATGTAAGTGTTGTGGATTATTGAAATATTTTTTTATTTATTCATTCATACTAATGAATAATTAAAAAAAAAAACTATATACTTACACTCAATTAGAAATTGGTATGTTGAGTAATGCATGCATGATTTGATCTTGAATGTTTCGTCCACTGTTGAACACACCTCGGCCTGTGGCCTCTCTTACCGTGCCGCAGGCGTGGACGGCGCGTCGTCGGCGGTGTGCGTGTGGGTGCGGGCGGTGTCGCGGCCGCAGTGGGGCGCGCTGTGCCCGGCGTGCCTGCTGCCGCTCGGCGCGCCGCCGCCGCCGCTCGGCGCGCCGCCGCCGCCGCCGCCGCCGCCGCCCGCCGCGCCGCCCGCCGTCGCCGTCGCGCTCACCGGCTGCCAGCACATGCTGCACCTGCACTGCCTCAACGACCAGCTCGAGCGGCTGCGCGCTGTCGGGGTTAGCCTCTACTCTACTCTTGTTTGTAATGACATATTCATAATTATAAAGTCATAAATAAGACGTACAAACAGTTGACATTTATATTAGGAATCAGTAAATTATTTAGACAAAGCGCTCGATTATAACATTATAGATATTCCTGTTTTATTGAGTATAGTTCATTTTCTTGTGTTTCAAAGACGTAAACGAGATTATATTAATAGTACATTACTGCAGCGGTCAGCAATTGAGACATTGATGGACGAATGTGTAAATGTGGGCCGAGGCGTAGCCGAGGCACACATACGTGAGTCCATCAATGCCTAGTTGTGGCCAAGGCTTGTATAGTACTTTTCTCAAACAATTTCTCATATCTGTCTTGTAATTTAAAAACAGAATGACCTTTTACTTCGAAACATGGCTACTAAGGAGGTAACTAATAAAAGGTTTTATTTAAATTTTGAACTGGCTTGCAAATAGAAAGCTGTTTATTGAAAAAAAAAAACAAAGGGACATTATAGCGCGTGAAATAGTACATTACTGTAGCGGCCAGCGACTAAGGCATAGATGGACGAACGTGCAAATGTGGGCCGAGGCGTAGCCGAGGAACACATAAGTGAGTCCATTAAAAATAATAGATGATAAAATTGGTAATCTTAAAAAATGATTTGATTAAAGTATTGAGTTAACTTACTGTACAAATTTGTGCTTAGGTAGGCATTTTCTATATCATATGTTGTCGTGGGAGGCGATACGTTTATTGTTGTAATCGTATTTTGTATGTATTGTTAATTGCACCGTACCGCAGGAGCAGCTGTACATCTCGTGCCTGGTGTGCGGGCGCGTGTACGGGCGCGAGCAGGCGGCCGAGGGCGGCGGCGGCGCGCAGCCGGCCGGCAGCATGACGTGGAGCCTGCAGCCCACGCCGCTGCCGCCCTACCCGCACTGCGCCTCCATCGTCGTCACGTACAGCTTCCAGGCCGGCCGGCAGGGCGCGCTGCACCCGCGGCCCGGCGCCGCCTACTACGCCGTCGGGTTCCCGCGCCGCGTGTGGCTGCCCGACTGCGCGCTCGGCCGCCGCGTGCTGGCGGCGCTGCGCGCGTGCTGGCGGCGCGGCCGGCTGTTCGAGCTGCGGGCCTCGCGCACCACCGGCCGCGACCACGTGGTGGCGTGGCGCGCCGCGCCGCCGCCCGCCGCGCCCGCCCACTACGCGCCGCTGCCCCGCGCCCACGCCGACCGCCTGCTGCTGGCCGCGCTGCACCGCCTGCACCGCCTGCACCGCCACCACACCGCCTGACACCGCCACCACACCGCCACCACACACTTACACATTCACGACGACAAAATTAAAAAATTCAATTTAATTTACATTAAATTACATTAATTTTAAATAATTTAATTAAAATTTTAATTTAAATTAAATTTAAAGGTATATAGCTTTGTTCAACTTTAATTAAAAAATAATACAGCAGAAATCATTGTCTAGCTGTCAAATATATGATTATGCTGTATACATGTAAAAATTCACATTAATACCTTATACATTTTATGCTCCAATTCTCATGTTTATCAACTTTTTAACATACAACGCAATAGAGGGACCAGAAATGAAACATTCCTTAAACTGAGCTAAATATTTTACAGTTCATAGTACATATCCAGTTCCATTAGATAATTAATTGTTGAATTTATTAGAAACTAAGCTCTCTGTGTACTTGACACTCAAAGTTATAACATGACAAAAAGTTGAAACACACTAGTTAATCATTTCCCATTTTTTTTTTTTTCAAAAAAATTCCTCTTATCAGTGCAACTAACTCTAATTTATTATAATAAACAAAATTTATTACTTACTAATCAATGTCTATATATATATATATATATATATAAATAATCAATATACACTGTAAGATGTATCTATTTATATCGGCGACTGCACTTTGTGATAAACAGATGAAGGGAATGTTATAAAATTATTAGTATAAAAGCTAAATAGATAAGACAAGAAAAGAAAAAAGAAAATACTACGCCTACCCTAAATGATATGGAATAAGGGGAGAAAATTATGTTTAATTTGTCGTATTTATCATTCGGTGTCACAAATAATGTTAGACAACTTTTGTTATAATAATGCTTACGTAATTTAAATAATTAATATACACAGTGAATTTTCCAAACACATGTGAAAGGTCAATATAAGAATTACGATTCTAATATACTGGTAATTTTTTTTTCTTGTCTATGGATTCTATTGCCAGGTAGAAAAAATAGTTTTTAGAAATCCAGTGATACCTGTGTGTGTGTTACTATAATTGTCACATATTTTTTTTTACTACATCTGCCGTTCATACGCTCTCTGTTTTTACCCAATGGTTAGCTGGTAGAGAATGCCATATGGCATTAAACTCGCTATTTGTACAAAGTTTTATTGTACAATAAGGAATAAATTAAAAAAAAAAATATCTACAATTTTATTAGAATCAAAATTGGCCTTCCAGTGTTTTCAGCTATTATTTATAGTCTAGAATTTCTCCATTCACGCGCCAATACTTAATAAATTGACCTATATATAATATTAAATACATTTTAACCGTCTTTATAAAAGGAGAAGGTCTATGTACGACCGTATTTTTTAATGTAAATAGTACACTTGACGGCTTGTATTAATTGCCAAGACTGTTACAAGATCTGCATTTATTATTTAATTGAAATAATATTAATCATGTGTATTGTTTGATAATTAAGTTGAAAGAAATTTTAACACAGGGAGACTACAAAAGTCTTTGCTTGGGCACCTTTTTCTTACTACTATGCTCTTAAAAAAAATCTTCATATATTTACATCAAAAATGTCCAAAATAATCCTTAAGAAATTTATAAAAACTTATATTTGGAGCATAGCATTGTATAGGTGTGAAACATGGACAATGACGCAGAAGGAAGGAAAGATACTTGAGGCATTCGAAATATAATTGTTGTAATTATGTTAAATTTATTAATCATATTTATGTAAAGAGGACACGTAGCGCCATCTGTTATCGCTCTGAGAATAACTCTGCGCACGCCATATTGTATTTCTCCCTCTGATTTTCTCTGTTACTTGCGTCGCATGTCTAATATATATATATATACGATAAAATGTAAGGAAAGTATATAAAAGTGTTCTGGAATGCGAGAAAGAGGATCTCAACAATAACGCATTATATATATATTATGTCCCTAAAATATATTTCAGTTCTTGTCTGACCGCCGTGCGGTTCACTGTGTACAAGTCTGTGAAGTTACCTCTTAACGAAACCCCGTCGGCATGGACATTTCCGTTGAAGAGCAGCGCGTCGATACAAGTTTCTCTCGAAACTCGGCAAGAATAGAAATTTTTGCCGATCTCAGAACATTTTTGGGGATGATGCTGTAAATGAACCAACCGTCCACAAGTGGCTAAAAAGATTCAGAGAGGGCCGAGAAAGAGTTCGATGTTCGGGGGATTGTCCATCAAAATTCGTCCCTCCAGGCCAGACATTGATGGAAAATTCTACGTCGAATCGTGCTCATTTGACGCCTCAAAATTTGTGTGGCACGAGTTCGTCCAATATATAAGCGACAGGGTGGATTCTTCACACGACAATGCCCCTGCCCACACCTCTCTTGTTGTCCGTGAGTTTTTGAGTAAAAATTCCATTACGGTGACCGAAACCCCCCCTATGTTTTGGCCCCGTGTGACTTCTTCTTGTTCCCACCAAATTGGTACTTCGCGCGCATTTGGGGGACATAAATGAGATAAAAAAAGCTACGACGGGGCAGCTTGAAACCTACAACCAGAGGACTTTCAAGCAGCCTTCTCACAGTGTAAACGGCGTTGGCACCAGTTCATTATGTCACAGGGGGAGTACTTTGAAGGGGATAAAATTGATTTATATAATTGTAAAATAAAATTTTTAAAAATTTTATACGTACTTTCGGACAAACCTCGTATAATAAAATAAAATATAAGAAATATTAAAAGTTATCGTCTATCTTTCCATCCAACCATCTCAACAATAACGTTATTATATATATATATTAAAATAAATACGCCTAAAATATATTTATGATTATTGTTTGGAGGTTCGTTCACTGTGTACAAGTCTTCCGAGTGTCCCGTTATGTCTTCCTCGATATACATTTTAGTGATAAGAGACTGATACGAGAAAGTATTATGACAATAGACTCGCGGCACGGTGTGATTTTTTTTATTGTCAATGGTATATGAACTAGCGACCCGCCCCGGCTTCGCACGGGTGCACATTATATCGCATCACATTTGAAACCTCTAAAATTATCAGTGTTTCTCTACAATATTATGCATGTATTATACATATAAACCTTCCTCTTGAATCGGTCTATCTATTAGAAAGACCGCATCAAAATTTGTTGTGTAATTTTAAATTTATAAGCACACATAGGGACGGACAGACAGGGACAGCGATTTTGTTTTACACTATGTAATGATAATTAAAACATAAAAATTATGTTTTAAGAGTTATTTTAACGCAGCTGTCACGTCAAATGTATGATTCGCGCGCAGGTTAACATCGGAAATACCATCGTACCGTGCCGCTTGTTTAGTTATCAGACGGCCGCAGTACAAAACGTCTGATTCTATTTTAATATATTAACTCTTGCCAGTAAGTGCCTTATATATTATAAGATTAATGTTATATAAATTATAGTTTGCGGTCGTAGTTCAAAGTTTTTTTTTTTTATTATTTGAAATGATGTATCCTCTACTGCTGACCATAGACAAGTGAACTGTCAAGTTTTTTTTTTTTTATTTTAGTGATATATTGTCTACTGCTGGATATAGACAATTGAACTATCAATTGTTTAATGGTAAACAGAAGTTATGTGCCGCGAACTCCATTATACATTGCAATGTAATGTCTTCCTTTAATAACACGCATGTAAGCTTTATATTAGAGTATATTATTATGTAGAATGCTAAACTCCTGTTAATTATATCTTTTATTAAGTATAAAAATTTTGTTATATCAATTTAGTATATTTTAATATAACGCCTTTATGTTTAGGCTTTAGTATTATGAAATATTGCGATTTATAAGATAGTAAAGTTCTATTATACTAAATTATTGTATTATTTTATTATTATTATTGTTTCAGTCGATAACTGTCCACTGCTGGACATAAGCCTTCCCTTTTATTAATTTCTAACGTTCTAGATATGAACTAAACATATTTTCTCTGACTACCCACAAATTATTCCAAAATAATTCCATCTCATAGGGGAAGGGGATTATTAATAATGCGGTCTACCAGTCCCATTATTAAACAATATGTCCAACCACGTCGACCTCCACGTGGTCCTCCCTGGAAACTATCGTGCTGAATTCCAGGAGAATTTCCTGAATTCCAATTCATCACGATGGGTTAGACTTTAAGAAATGTTGTAAGAGGGACGCTGTTACCCATCCCTCGCCCTCCCTTAGTCGCCTCTTACGACATCCAAAAGGAAGATGTGGTCCATTCTATGCCGGGACATGGCATATTATTTTTTATTGTATTTTTTATTATTTGTTAATACAACGTCACACGCCCTGTACAAACTGTGGTTATCCAAACATTATAATCATGATATTTATATGATAACTCAAACAAATCGTTTTTCTAAACAATAAAAATACCTAATTTGATAAATTGAGATTACGTTCCACAAAAATAAAATCGGCGTCAACTGTAGTTGTATCAGTTATTTTCATTTCACAATACTAAACCGATTTGGATGAAGTTTCTATGGGACCAATCTATAAGTATACATACCCTTTTAGTTAAGAAAAAAAAATCAAATCGATTTCTAACTAACGGAGTTATAACAAACTTAAATAAAAATGCAACCGACTTGAGAACATTCTATTTTTTTGAAGTCGGTTGAAAAAGTAAAAAACAACAGGTACCTACGTTATGAGTCACGAACATTTTGAAACTGACACTCTGTTATATGGATGTTTCTTTTTATGTAATTTGAAATGGCACAGAAGTTGATAGGCCACCCCATGGAATACACGTCATAGAATACTGTGTGATACCCTTGGTGTTCTTATCCCTTTCAGACCTGAACGATACGGGTGTGAGTTGTAACTTTAAAAAATTCTAAAACCGCGCGCAATTCATTTTTGCGCACGAAGCTGAAATAATTTGATAGTGAGATTCTAAACCAGCCAATAAGAAATCAGTTTAACGGTTAGGTGGTGCAGTAGTCTCGTGCCGGCAAGGTGGCTTGGTTCCAAAACACGAAAATATATTTAATATGAATGAAAAAAAATCTTGGGTCTGAAAGGGATAAGCGTTAGTATTACTTTAGATTGAGAGGTTATGTCCCTGTACCTGGTAATCTCATTGCCATCTAGTTTTACTCTTTAATACGTAGCACCTTATAATACTACGTTTATATTTTAAACTGAAACACAGGCATACAAGCAATAGCTGCTCTCAGAAACACAGACAGGTAGAGCTACCATCACACCGAAAGACTTATACGTTTTAACCTTAGATTATATAGATAGAGTATAGAGCCTCAAAAACGGCCCAACTTTTTGTCAGCTAATTATCATTATTTTTTTATGGGTGTAATGGTATGGTAACCCCGCCTGCGCTAACGTGCGTAAACAATCATTTTATTTATTAAATAATACGTCAACATACATTTTGTGTGTAAATATATAGAATACTGATAAAAACAGACTCAGTTAAATGTATAATTATGGGGGGAAAGGGATTGTTACTAATGGAGACTAAGAATCCCATTGCTAGCAATATACCCAACCAGGTCGACCTCCTTGCGGTTCCCCCTGGAAACTACCATGATTAATTCCTGATGAATTCATCATGATGGGCTAACTGGCCTGTTTTCATTCTCATCGATCACCCTTCACTAGTGCTCCGCCAGCGTATCCCGTTAGCGCAGGCGGGGTTACCATTCCATTTTCATCCATAAAAAAAAATCCCCCCTAAAAAACCGTCGTGCTAAATTCCAGGTGTATTCATCACGATGGGCTAACTATCATTTTCACCTGTCAACCTTCACTAGTGCCCCGCCAGCGTATACTGTTAGCGTAGATGGGGTTACCATTGCATTATCATCCATCCGAAGCTCGTATTGGCGTTTTGACGTAGTTTGGCGTAAGACAGCTTCGTTCTTATATAGAACACGCGAGAGGGGTAACAGTATCCTGAACATGTTTGTAAATAAATAGTTCTCTCGTGAGAATGCTTGCCAAAAGGACAAGATCATTATTAGTGATTAAGTATTAACATAGTTTTTAAATACACTTACTAACAAAAATGGGCCCAAGTCGCCTAAAATAAAAAAAAAAACTCTTAAAACGTAACGTCTATGATCAGTTATAAACAGTACTACAAGAATAAATACTGGTAGCGCCTAATAATGATAAGCAAGTTTACCTTCCACTTAGCTACCTTCAGTATACAATCTAAATTTAGAACAAAGTACATTCAATATCACTATAAATTACTGAAGATACATTCAAACTAACAAATATTTGTATCACCGGCACTAATGTAATTAGATATCCTTTTATTACGGCTTACATCACATTGTAATCAATGTCGCTTTTTGAACAAATAAAGTTGAGTATATAACGAGAATTATGTGCTACTACATGCATTTGCAAAAGGTGAAGGGAGCAATGCAAGATGGTTGGCGAAAATGTAACAGTTAAGAACTTGTTGAAGTTGGAAGATGTTTTGAACGAGAAGCAATTGCATCGCGTTATAGAGCAATCGCTGACGGACCAGAGTAATTGGAAAATTTCACATACAGAGATACGATCAGCCACTGATGGTCTGGCGGGCTTCCTCGGCGATCACCTCAGGGCGACGTTGCACGTGATGGTGAATGGATCAACGGAGAAGATACAGCTGTTTATCAAACGCGTACCGTGTGGAAACAAGCCAAAAGCAGAGTTCATTGAAGCCAATAATTTTTTCAAACGTGAACAGATGATGTTTCAGTTAATTGAGGAGATGAAAGCCGCTAATGGTGAGAGAGATAGATTCAGATTTATATAAAATTTTATACTAGTACACTTATCAAAACTCTGTGCTCATATCTACGTGGGCTTCTGCTCCATTTTCTGGCTTATAAGTATAACTATATTTCAGATAATGATAGCTTTTTTTTATTACATAATTGTGTAGGTATATCACTGATTCAAATACTTCATCATGAAACAAACTACATATACTTTTTGATTTTTTTATGCAACTTAGAATGGCAAACAAGATGATGGCCCACCTGATGGAAAGTGGTAACCGTCGCCTATACACATGACCAATACCATGGACATAACAGAGTATATTATTTCGCCTATGATACCACCCAATGCATCGTCATTCCTGAGGACTCAGGTATTATTCCTCTTGATATTTCGGTCTGAATACTGTGGTATGCAATCCTTTATCGGTAAGAATACAACATGTGACCACTCTTTCGTCTTCAGGGTTTTGTGAACTGTAAACCGATCCAAATACATATATATACTTTTATTATTATTTCAGCCGTTAACTCTGTTTAAGTCCACTGCTTAAGCCTTCCCCATAAGGGGAGTTTTACCAGTAGTTGCCGCACTTGGCAAACCGCAGTTAGGTTTTTAGAAATGATATAAAAGGGACGCTGCTGCCCATCCCTCGCCCTCTCTTAGTCGCCTCTTATCACATTCACGGGAAAAGGAGTGGCCCATTCTATACCGGGACCATATGGCGAATACATAGGTTATTAAATAAACCATATGTTTTCAGATTCAAACCCTTGGTGTGCAAAAGCACTAATATACACGAAATTACTTCTCGTGATGCAAGATTTAAGCGAACAGGGATACTCGACACGTCCAACACTCGAAACGTTTGACTTGCCACATGTGCGGATTATTGCATCGACCATTGCTCGCTACCACGCAGATTTAGCCAACTACCAGACGAAGAGAAGCATCGATGAAAATCATCATTGGACCTTCATGGAACAATATCGGGACATACTACAAGAGCCTACGTTCAAAGATTCGCCGTGGATTCGCTGCGCTGCCAAATTAACATCTAACTTCCTGAAAATATTTTCTAATAAATACAATAATATACCAAATATTGAATCGAAACTAACGGAGCTATATATCGAAGGTTGTAACAGCTTTAAAGAATACAGTAACACCTTGAACGTGCTGAATCATAAAGATTTGTGGGCGAACAACATAATGTTCCGATACGAGAAAGGAGTGCCGTGTAATGCATTGCTCATAGACTTCCAGTGCTTGCGCTACGGACCGCCAGCCTTCGATCTCACCTTATTATTGTACTGCACAACCTCTAGATGTTTCCGGAAGCAGTACGAGAACGAAATCTTCCGTCATTACTACTCAGTTTTCTCGGAACAACTCGAGGATTATACTAAAGAGAAACTGGAACATTTAGGATACGATGAGAAGGAATTCTTGTGTTGGTGTGAAAAGAGTCGTATGTTCGGACTAGTGTTCGCGATTACTGTTTTCCCTTACGTGTTGATGGAGCCGAGAACAGCTCAAAGGAATTTCGACGATCCGGAGACATATGATAAATACTTGAATGACGATCGCACGGAACCCGTGCTGGCGCACTGCTATGAGAATGCCGAGTACATGTCAAGACAACTGGATGTGTGTGAAGAATTCGTAGAAAGATATGTCTTAAACTTGAACTGATGTAAATATATGAACAAAATATGCATACAAGTATTTAACAGCGTCCCAAGACCCCGAGATGCTAGTTAAAAACCATGTAGTCAACATTTGCAGGTATTTTAAAGTTAAAATAGAAAGGCAAACTAACCTCCACCTCTCGGGGTTTTGAGAGGCGATTTTTCTTATGGTCTTTGAGATAGTTATGAGCTTCAAAGATTTTTTTATGACTTAGTCCTTTTCCAGTGGCTAAATTTCTAAAGATTATCTTAGGGCTTTCAACTAAGGTGATCGAAGTGTTGCATTACTCTTTATAGAAATAACCGTATTAAACTATTTTTTTTTTTTTATACAACTTAGAATGGCAAACAAGCTGACGGCCCACCTGATGGAAAGTGGTAACCGTCGCCTATACACATGAGCAGTAAGGACATAACAGACACACACATCGAAGTGTTGCATCAGGACTCAGGTGTTATTCCTCTGTTAAATACACGCCATATCCCACAAACCGAAACACAGCCATGCAAACACAACTGCTTCAAGAAACACGAATGGGACAGAGGTAATATAAAAGTCTCTCTCTGAAAATAATGCTACAACTGAAAATATGTATTTTGAGTTTATTTATTTATTTATAGGATTACCAACACAAGATACAGCTAAACATTTCAATACAATACACTGGTAGATTAGATCTAACTGTTCTTACATTTATAGGCAACCACAGCATGCCTTGTGTTTGACAAACATTAAAATATTAGTAGGTTTTCGCTCAGAGTAGCGAGCGAGAGTACTTGTGGATTCCAGAAGTAGAAAAACCAATGAAACTATTCTAGATGACTTATCTATATAAAATATACGTAAGTTAGACATTCACGAACACAACTATAAAAAGCGCATCCAATTTAGTGCAGTATTTTTTTGGGTGATACCGGAACGAAGTTACAGACAGACAAAATTTCTAAAAATTATTGTTTCCACACCTATTGATCTTATTTGTTTTTTATGGATGACAACACAATGGCAACCCCGCCTGTACTAACGGTATATGCTGGCAGGGCACCAGTGAGGGGTGATAGGTGAGAAGAAAAGACAGATCAGTTAGCTCATCGTGATGAATACACCTGGAATTCAGCACGATGGTTTCCAGGGGGACCACGTGGAGGTCAAGCTAACAGGCCATATTGCTAGCAATGGGACTGGTAATCCGCGTTGCTAACAATCCCTCCCCCCATATTGGTCTTATTAAAACCGCTTATATTTCTTAAATATCTTCTATGCAGAGACATCGTCTTGTTACAATTATATTAGTAAGACCTGTGGAAGGGGGAGGGGATCGTTGGTAAAGCGGGCTACCAGTTCCATTGCTAGCAATACTCTATCAGATCGACCTCCACGTGGGCCTCCTGGAAACTATCATGCTCAATCCTAGGTGTATTCATCGCGATGGGCTAACTAACCTACATTCATTCTCACCTGGTGCCCCGCCAGTGTATATACCGTTAGCGCGGGCGGTGTTACAATTCCATTATCACCCATATTTATATTTTATTAAAAAAAAAAGACCTGTGGAACATTAAGTTTAAATATAAAAAATAGGTGTCATGATTTGTTACAACTGCTTCGATCAATATTAACATAAATAAATATGGCTACATTTGTTATCTTGCAATTTATATATTATTTAAATATATATTTATTATCAGACATCTAACGTATCTGTCTACATAAATCAAAACGTCAGTTTATAAGTAAACAAAGTTAAGAATATAATGACTGATTACTGTGAGAAGTCGAACCGTTTAATGACTCGTCAGTCGGGCTTGGTTCGTGTTTATAATAATGTAAGTATGAATAGACAGATAAACATGTTTTTCGATGTCTGCTTTTATAAGAACTAATTTTTATTAAAACATATTTTATTATGAAACCGTGATTATTTAAAGAGTAATAATAAAATTTAAAAATCATTGGTATTTTCTCTAGTCATCAAGTCAGTATAATTTGTTATAATAGGACTAATGAAAATTTAAAAAATAAATCAAAACCCGACCAAGGGTGTTCTTATGTCCAATAATTTTACCAAAGGGAGACTTTGTACAAAAATTGTTTACTTGGGTACCTCTGTCCCATTCGTGTTTCAACCGTGAAGCAGTTCTGTTTGCATGGCTGTGTTTCGGTTTGAAGGGTGCAATATGGCGTGTATTTACAGGGTACAGAGGAATAATACCTGAGTACATGGGCGAAACAGCCATGGTACTGTCTGATAGGTAAACGGTGGCAAACAGGCATACAGCCCGTCTGATGGTAAACGGTCACTGTAGCCTATGGACGCCTGCAACACTAGCGGTGTCACGTGCGTCTTACCGATTTTTAAAGAAATCTTAATACACGCTTTTTGAAGAATCCCATACTGTAGTCTCTAGGAAAAACCTCGGCAGAGAGCTTATTCCACAGCCTGAGCGTTCATGGGAGATTTTTTTATACAACTTAAAATGGCAAACAAGCTGACGGCCCACCTGATGGAAAGTGGTAATCGTTGCCTATAGACATGAGCAGTACCATGAACACAACAGAGTACACTGTTTTGCCCATTATACCCCCCATGCGTTGCCATTCCTGAGGACTCAGGTGTTATTCCTCTGTACCCAGTAAATGCACGCCATATCCCACCCTTCAAACCGAAACAGAGCCATGCAAACACAACTGCTTCACGGTTGAAACACGAATGGGACAGAGGTACCTAAGCAATCGACTTTTGTACAAAGTCTCCCTTACAAAGTTTGATCGCCGGGAATGAATACCTTTTCCTACTGGCGCATACCAACAAGTTGATGTTTATGATTGTAAAATATAACATAAGATTACCCTTAAACGACACACCCCAGTGATGCAAGCGGCCAGCTGTCGCTCGCCCGTTATGGTCACTACAATCGGTGTCACTCGCACAAAGCACATACGTGCACAGCACATACTGCCGCGACAAACTTCGCCATATTCAGAATGACAAATATCCATTCCCTAACTCGCTGAGCTTGTTTTTGCTATAACATGTTGCAAAGTTCCTTGATATCTGCTTAATATACATCATTACGTATAATTAATCTAATGAAAGTGCTAATGGCAGTTTGATGTATTTTTTTTATAGCGAGTAACGGAGATGTATCTATCATTGATCATGCACATTTAATACTAAATGTTTAAAACAGTTTTAGCGATTATATTATTTGCCGCCTTGACGGTTCTTCTTTTTTTTTTAGTAGGTACGTTTGTTCCGTTATGGAACAGGCTAAGGTCGGAGACCATGCTGCCTAATCTTCAGTATGATAAAATTCTTCAAAGATCTTGTCTATTTTTTTTTACAGAATTGAAGGCTCAGGAATAAACTGATACAGTCTCCTTCTGATAATATAATACTAATACCATCAGACGGGTTACTTGCTGGTTTGCCATCTTTATTGTAAAAAAAAAAAAAACAGAATAAAGAAATAATAAAATAAATTCTTTTTAGAGATAAATATTGCGTGACGCCTGAGGAAAGGTCTATATATTGTCAACTTCTGCTGTGAAGCAGCAATGCGTATATACTTCACTCTGTAGGTTAAGATGATAATGCTACCTCTAACCCTAGAAGAATTTCGGGAGCCCTATTAGCAGCCTCTGTGTGTTAATTAATGAGGCATAATCTGAGCGTTCAGTGTCGTGCTTGTTATAGGCAACAGATACCACCTTCAATCAGGTAGTTCTGTAGCGTTAAATTGTACAAAAGTCTAGCTGTATCCTGTGGCTTCGCTCGTGATTGTATCATAGTTAGCCATAAACTATCCACTGCTGAACATAGTCCTCCCCCTATTTGAAGGGATGGGGGGTTGCTAGAATTTTCCACGCTTAGCACGCAGGTTGGCAACCACAGTTAGGCTTTTATAATGTTTTAATAGGAACGTTGCTGCATATCACTCGACCATTTAATTCTCTTAGTCGACTCATACGACACCTACAAAAAGGGAAAAGAAAAGGGTGGCCAATCGTATTATAAACAGCCTTCCTTCCTTGATAAAGGAGTTACCAATGCAAAAACAATTTTTGAAATAAACTATTCCACTTTCTTAATATAGATTCATCACTTAAATGCCTTTAAGAAAATTTGTTTTTTGTAATCGCTGGAATTCTCTGAAAGCGTCCTATTTTGCAAGTTATGACTTGGTTACTGTAGTAGGACTCGAGTCCTACAGTGGACTTGAGCATAGTAGTGTTTATATCATGGAATAGGAATAATAAGAGTCGTGAAGGTCGGCCGGTGCATCCTGCAGCGACTACTCAGGCCGCGCGGTCGCGCTCGCCCGTGACCGGCCGCTCGCCCGCAGGACTAGAATGCATTATAATGCACGTACTTGTGTTTTACATTTACATCATAGTATATATTGCACAACACTAGGTTAAAACAGAAATACTTAATAGAAAAATAGGTAGGTAATCCTTCTAATCATTTCCTATCTCACTGCGTTAGATTGGCTGGAAGTATTATGGGAACAATCTGGAAGTCTTTTTCAAAATCGGTTTACAACTGGCGGAGTAACGTAATGTAATATAAAAATGTTTATTGTACATAATATACATTGAATACATTAAAAGACTGTGTTTGCATGGCTGTGTTTCGGTTTGAAGGATGGGATATGGCGTGAATTTACTGGGTACAGAGGAATAACATCTGAGTCCTCAGGAATGGCAACGCATGGGGGATATCATGGACGAAACAGTATATTCCGTTATGTCCATGGTACTGCTCATGTCTATAGGCGACGGTTACCACTTTCCATCAGATGGACCGTCAGCTTGTTTGCCATTGTAAGTTGTATAAATAAAAATATACGATGACGGACTTATACAATAGATCTCTTGCAGTCAACCTTTGAGAAGCTGAAAGAAAACTATAGAACGCTCATGGGTAAAAACCGTACAGCTAAAGATAAACTCAAAGTTATGAGGTAACTTGGAGTTATGAGACAACACATAAAAAAAAATTATCATGGGGAGTGCTCTGAAG